GGGGCAGGGGGCGGGGAGAAGGGGAGGATATTTTGGCTGTCTTCGCATAGAGAATTGGGAACGTCTTTTTTTCCCCTCTATCTTATCTGTAATGTGTCTACATATAAACTTGTGTCCGCTCCCTCAAAATGATTACAGAAAGCTAAGTAATAACCCCTGTGTCACAGAGCTAGCATGCTAATTTTCTGTGGATACAGTTGCAAGCTACTGTTTCAAATAGGGACCAAAGGGCTGATTCTTAGTATGGGCTAAAAATAATGGTGCCTGCCTGCATGTGCTCTTTGAAAAAGAGAAAAGAGAAAAGAAAACTTTGCACTTGCACAAGTGCTGGTGTGATTCTACCGTTCCCTGAACAAGCTCCAACAGAAAATCACTAGTTATTCTGCATATTTGCTCCCTAAAATGGCTCATAGTGGGGTTAAATAAATTCTAGACCTGGCCAGATTGAAGGAGTGAGGGTTAGGACTTCACTTGCAGTGACAATTGACTGTTACCTTGTGTCATAATAATGAACTTATTTAGATACAGAACTTAACTAGTGTTCTCTGCTTTTTTTTTGTCCTGTTTAGTTGTGATGATTTTTTTAAAGTTTTTTATCTTCTTTATTGCTATGTTTAAGAATCTGCATGCCACTTTTAACTGTCTAGGTAATTGGCTATGAAGAGGAAACAGAAGAACTAACAATACAGAGTTAGCGAAAGCGTGAATCTCAAAATGAGGGCTATAGCTGTGCTTTTTTCCCTTTCAATTTTTCTTTATATAGCTCTTGTTCATTAAAAGAAGGTAAATTGAAAACTTTACACTGCTACTGTATTATAGATGCAATTTTGAATGAGAACACCAATTAGAGATGTTTCATGTGATTGTAATAACATAGGCAATTGAATTGTATTTAAACAATGTGCACTAATATTTTAATTTTTCAGTATGAAAGAGTGAAAATATTTAATGATTTGCTGTACATGTATGATTTTGCAATCTGTTTGACCATTGGCAGAGTAATGGTGCTTTTCAGTGACCACCTAAATTTATAATTAGTTTATCTAGTATTTTCACGAAATATTAATAGTCATTAAAACATCTTAGATTAAATTTGACCTAACGTTTATCTTCATTGTCATTTCTTTAAGGTCCTATTGAATTTGAAGAATGTAACACATCCAGTGCAGTTGAAGGTGAGATGTTGTAGCATAGTTATTTATGTAAGAATGCAGTGGATAAGGACCTGAAACTGTGGAGTGAAGGGTATTCAGTGTGTATAGCTTCAAAGTACTCCAGTAGATTTAAAAACCAGTTTTCCTTTTGAGAAAGAAGCTTCAACAAAAGTAAGACCGATGATACTTTATAAGCCTACTGCACAAAGGTCAGAGAATGTTGTTTCTTATAAATATACTTTGGCTAACATCCTGACTTTGCAGAGTTTTGGATTTGGTTCACTTATGACTGTGTTGTAACTCAATTTACAAGTGTCAAAATATGGCCCAGGCTCTTTCCATTGTACAATATTAGTTATACCAAGCCTAATGCAATATTATGGTCACAAAGTCTTTTTTGTTGGCATAGCTTATTTTGCTTAGGGGATTGTTTTAAGTGGTTAAGAACTGCTTTATTTGCATAAGCAAACTCTTTTTCTGTCCTATAGCTATACGTATCCAGTGCTAAAAGTGGGGAAAAAACGACAGAGGGGAGGCATGGTTCCAGACTCAGTGAGAGCCCAGTGGCTACAGCACTGGGAAATCATGATCTCAACATCAGCTGGAAAGCCAAGAGACGGTCTCTGTTTTTTACAGGACCAAGATGCTACTTCTTAGGAGAGACAGGGGCTTGCAGCTACCAGGAACATGCAGGGAAATAACAACAGGGTGTTGAACTGCAGTAGCTGGGAGAGGCAGGGTTCAGTTTCTGATCCAAGTGCATTGGTTATTCAGCATCAGCCGGAGCAATAGCTCCTGTTGAACTTCTGCGAGCAGAGTCCCTTTCCTCAAAACTGGCTACACGCTCATTTTCTGTTAAAAAAAGTGACAGTCTGCATACCCAGTTTGGAGAGTTGGATGTACAATGCAAATCAGTTTTATAAGGACTTACGTTATTAATGTGTTGAACCATATTTTAATTTAATTTTTTGGTTTGTCTGTTACTTAACAACAAATAGGGATAATGTTCCCTTAGTTTGCTCCATACTTATCTCCACTGCTAGATTTTTGTATCACTTGTGGCAGCATTTAAAATGTATTGGCATTGGTATGCACCCATTTAACAATTTAACGTTATTAAATATGTACTTACCTCTTTGATCTTTAAATGAAAAGTGTTTGTTCCGTAGGGATAAAACCACGGAAGAGGAAGCCTTTTGGTTTATCAGGAATAATGAAAAAAGAAAAAGATACTGAGTCTGTGTAAGTATATTTCCATCTTGAAGCTTTGTCTTGTATGAAAATTAGTAAAAGTATGGGGATAAACGTTAGTTATTTATTAGATGTTTAACAAAAAAGTGGGTTTATAACAGAAGTTTAGAGGAATGGTATGAATATGAAAACATCACAGCTATTTAAGATTTTTGTAACTAAGGATTTTAAGGAAATAAAGTAAATGTATTCATAGTAGTCTACTCATGGTTTATTCTTTCCTATGCATAGATAAGTAGTTCTCCCTTGTTCTACATTTGAACATTATAGATAATGTGATTCTCATGTGTAGTCCTAATGAAACAACAGCTCTGTACATGGAAAAAGTATTGGATGCCTGTGTTTGCAGAATTGAAGCTTCAGTTATTCTTTTATTAGAAAAACTTCTGTGTACAGTATCAGAAGGACAGAAAAATCTTTGAATGCTTTTTCACTACATCATGTGCACACTCATTTCTGAAAGACCATCATTCTAACTCATCACTGATGTCCCAGCTATACCCTTTGCCATATTCATTGCATATGCTCTGTCTCCCAGGAGTTAAAACTCTCCAGAAAGTGAGTTTGAATACAAGTTCTTAGATGGAGTCGTTGCAGTCTACGTATTAGTAGTTAGGATCACTATATTCCAATGTATTTTTTTCGTAACTTCTAGATGTGTTTTCTCAATAGAAATGTTTGATTTAACAGAAAATAGCTTACAATTTGACAAATTCAGCAATATAGAAATATTCCCTGAGGCAACACCTGCATACATATTTTTTAAAATTACTTTTAAAAAATATTTTACCAGCCTTAGTTTTTAATATAATGCTGAAAAATTAATGACCTAAGAACTGCAGGTGCTAATTATTTGCACATACAAAGTGCCTTATAGCTATTTTTCTTTTGGTGTTTAATTTTAATAGTGATACACTTCTAAACCATGCTTTTTCTTCTCTCTGTCATGATGCATTTAGGGCTCCAAGGTATTGGGTTTTTAAGTCATTGCTCTATATTTCTGTTCTTTCTGTAATTTAGTCTTCCCCCCCCACCCTTCTGTACTTTATTAAGCTGGAGTAAATGGTGAGAGAAGTGTTGTATATAGTGATTTCGGTCAGCAGTAATCTGAGAATACTATTTTGTTACAAAGAATTATTTTTTTCTGATGAAGGTTTAGTTTAAAATATGAATTAAAATTAAAATATTGTGAATATTTGATATTTGTGTCTTAAACAGCTTTAGTGCCCTTTTAAAAAGTAATCCATTCTCTCTGAAAGTTTATTTACTACACTTTTTTTTTGTGATGCAAAACTGTTGCAGTATCAAATAGCAGCAAAAAAGTATATTCGATCATTTGCCTTTTGTGTCTTGCATTTACTTAATTGCAAAGTAGTAATTTTGATAGTATTGGGTACTGTTGTGTGATTGAATTCTGTAGCTCTCAGCTTTTCTTGTCCAACAAAATAATTATTTTGCCACCACATGGGCTATTACTCAAGCTAGTCTCATGTCATGTATGTTATAAGCCTCCTTGCAAACCAGGCATGTCCCTCCATCCATTCTTTGGCAGGTGATGAAATGTAACCTGGCCCCAACAAAGATTTAGGGCTCTTAATAGTAGTTTTCTGGAGCCAGTAAAGGCCTGGAAGCTCCAAATTAACTCTTCCCAGGTGTATGACTCAATGTATCCTTACTCAGAGATCATGTTTTTCTTTAACCTGTAACAGAAAGAAAATTTTCTTAGGCACTGAGGGCTGAAAACTGGCTTCTATACTATGTGAAACACTTTCCACCTTTGTATGCTTATCCATTGTAGTATCTGAATACTTTTCTAAAAGCTGCTTTTTCCCAAACACATTTTATGTAACACTGAAAGATAATATCAGCGTATCTTTCTCGAAAAAATTTTGTTTTTCATGGCACAATGATGTCATTAGAAAATATAAATCAGCTCAGCTACTCTGAAATGAGAAAAGAATTTGCCTGGCTTTCAACAAGTTGGACTGAAATTTGATTTATATTATTTTATTTGTTTCTATATTTACACACAATACAAAAATGAATAGATCCTGAAGTCAGAAAGAAAGAAGTATGATGGCATGATATTTACTGCCTATGTAACTCATGCCATAGGCTTTTACAGAGATTCTTGCATTAATCCATAGCTTCTAAATAAACTAGAACATCACAAATAAATAACAGAGGATTCATTACATGCTTAAGTAAAATATTCTAATAGTTATGTATGAACTCTTTAAAAAAATTTATTGATAGTCTAAATTTTGTCTGGTTTCATCTTCAGCTGATGATCCTGCTATAGGCTGTACATATAAAAATCTGTATCATCAGAAACTTCTCTGCACATAGAGGTCAAGTCTTTTCTTAATCTCATGTTAAATTAGGCTGTAAACTTGTGTCGTTTGTGTAGGGCAGGCTTTCCACATCTAGAAAAACTTCAATGGTTTGTAGGCTTTTCAGTTTATCAATACAGTTTTTAAAGTGTTGACACCTAAACTGGATGTTGTGTCTAGTAATGATTTTGTACAGGGAAACACCATACACAGTGTATTCTATTACATATTGCTCTAATTAGTCAAGGATTTCACTTCTTTTTCTAACCACTGCTTTGCATGATTTGGTTGTTTTAGTTTTTATTTACAATCCTTAAATTCCCTTACAGAATCGCCATTTGCTGAAATGTTACCTTATACTAGAATCATGACCTAGTTCTTCACTCTTAAAAGAAAGATCATACATCTAGTCTAGCATGTCTGTCTAAAACCTGATGTCCTCATTTTCCACTTCACCGGCATTTGCAAACTATTGAGTTTTCCTTTGTATCTTGAGAACGAATTCTGGGAGGCGCTGTTGGTGCTCCTCTGAATGATACCAAATCTGCCGTTACTTTTTGAGATCTACTAGCTCACTAATTTTGAAAATCTTCATTATGGGCTGAATTACTTTCTTTGTAGTTTGCCTCACATCTTTCACATTTCTTAACTTTTGAGGACTTCAACCTGTCTAGTTTGAGTACAGACACTTTTTAAAACCACAGATCAGAAAACCTGTTTGTTATATCTCTTGACAGAAGTCTAGTACTTTGTCTCTTTGAGCTGTAAAATAGCTTTTAAAATAGCTCTTTCTATTGCTATGAATTCAGTTTAGCCAGCAGAGGGAGTTAAGACTTAAACCAATTACAAACTTGGTCACATATGTTTTCTTTTGTGTGAGGCCTTTCAGAGGGACAGGATCCTTCATCTCACTGTCAATTCCTTAACAGGCTGTACTGCATTTCATATTAAAGCTTCCATGTTAGGAAGTTTTCATACCTGTTTTTAAAGACGTTGTAGTTTTTACATTTAACCTGTTTAGTCTTTCAGAAAAGATGATTTAGATTGCAATAAATTTGATTTTTTTTTTCCTCTTCTTTTCTATAAGTGCATGTTTAGGATGTTCAGTTTGATTATATAAAAACACCGTTGTTCAGTTACACTGGCACTTACAGCTTTATTTGTCAGGATGGAAATTAGAGAGGACTTGTATGCTGCTCGAGTATTCCCACATTTTGTAAATGCAATTGTTTCTGCTTTTTGCAGACATGAGAGAGAATCGGTGTCATTCATTTTTTTTAAGTACTACTGCTTAAATCGAAGTTATAGTGGAAAAATGTAACACTTGTGAATAATATGCTTGCAATGACTGCCTTTCTGCTGATGACTTTTTTTTTTTAAAAGTGCTTATTAGGAGGGTACTCTGTTATTTTTTCCAGCATCTTCTAGTGCTTGACTGCAACTGTGCTTGACAAACATGAACTAAGAGTGAAATTCCAAAAGAAGGAAGCTCTGAATTCCTCTAAGAATAGTCTTAATCTCTTTGGGAACTGGTTATTGTCCAAAATGTTTTGCAATTGCATGTGGACTATTTCATTAGGATTGGTGACTTCTACTTATTGTGCACATCAACCACAGAGACCTGAGTCTTAAAGTATATCCATCCAGAATACAGCGTGGTACTCCTGGCTTCCCTTGATTTTTTTTTTAATTTTTTTTTTATTTTTTCCACTATGATGCAAGTTTGCTTTTTCAGCATTTCTTTTGAGTTTTTCTTCTGTGGTGTTTTGAGCATAAACTTTCAGCTTTTATTTAAATCTCATTCAGTTGAATGTGGATTATTTGTAGTGAAAATTTTAACAGAGTCTGAGAGCCGAAAGGATCAAATGCAATATTTCAAATTAATTGAAAATATTAAAGGAAGTATCAGAACTGCATGAATAAAATAATTTGTACATTTTATAATTGTGTATTTTCTTTTTTTTTTTTGATAGGGAGTGTCCAGATGCAGACTCAGTTGTAAGTAGACATATTTCCAAAACAAATGCATATTCTAATATTGTCAAGCACTACGGTCTGATGAAACTTAATTTATATACAGTCCCTGCAATGCGTTATTTGTCTGATAGAGGATTTAATATTTTGGTAACATAGTTGAAGTGTTAATTTTGCTCAATACATAGTCGTTAGCATTATATACAAATATATGTCAGTAATACATTTGTATTTCCTAATAATGCTAGGTTTTAAACAAAGTGTTTTTACTACAAGTATTTGCTACTTTATTTTTCAAGTTAATAGTTCAAATTGCTTGACTAACAGATTCTAAGTATGAAAAAGGTTCAGTTTATTGTGAACCCAACTTTGCATCATCATATTCCTCTGCTTACTACTGTTTTCTTTGAGAAATCTTTCTAATATCGGTGGGGTTCTGCTTTATCACTGGCAATAGAGTGTAGGAATATACTTTTTAAAATACGGCTTTAAATGCAGTATCTCTAGATGCACTTTATTAATGGCCTTGCTGTCAGTACGATCTCTGATACATCTTACAATTTTATTTATTAAATTCAAATAAGTGACAGTTGCAAATTAAATTGGTATGTTAATGCTTCTTTATTTCCTTAATTGAGCCTTTTCTTTTTGTTTAAACATGTATGTTGTCTTGAATTATATGTAACAGAGATTGCAGCTCCCTATAGCTATGGTAGGGAATAATTTACAGAGTAATTTAAGTGATTTTCTATAGACTGATTTGTTTTTTGAGTCATTTATTTAGATGCCAGTTGTATTAAACAATTTAAATTTCCAGGTTCACCTATTTTGTGGATTTTCTTCTTTGCATTTAATATCTGGGAGTTTTAGTACCTAATATTAAGACTTCTTTTGAGAAACTTGGTTTAAAAAAAATTTAGTAGAACCATTCTTCTAAATACAGAAAAGTAAGTTTTGCCACATAATAGAACTATATGTGTAAGAACAGCCTTGTAAGCATCATCGAAACAGTTGGTTTATCCTGTGCAAAGTCATCTAGATTTAGAGCAAATTTCTTTTCTTGGGTACATTTAAAGTAAAGTAACTTCAGAATTATCCCTATAATTATCAGGCTTTTCATGGAAATAATATCTTTTGACAGTTCGGTTGAGTCACTGGAGTGAACTACAACTGGATTTGACTTGCAGTGTTTATTTTCTTCTTTGCTTATTTTGGTCTCTACATTTTTTAAAAATAATTAGTTTAAAAAATTCAACTGTAAATGTGTCTGACATTCATTCTGGCTGCATGAGGCACACCATATGATCATTAAAGTTAATTGTTCTGTCTAGATGTAATTTATATTTGGTTAAAAAAAACCCTAACTTTCATAGTGTCTAACAACAAAACTGATACTTCTGTGGCATTCTCTTTTTTTTTTTTTTTTAATGCCCAACATTTGATGACTGCATTTGCAATTTAAAATTTGGTCTATCGTTTCTTCTTGCTTTTTACAAGCAACAGTGTTATTCTGAATGGTAGAATGCTTTAGTAGCAGAAGCCATTACTGTCATTCTCATGAAAAATGATGCAGCACACCATAAATGGGATTCATTTCACCCCTTACAAACAAGCACCCCAGAGTGCTTTTATATTTTAAGGTTGGTGTCCTTTTCTGGAAAGTCCCATTTCAACTGTATTTCATTTTTCTTGTCTTTTACTTTAAGATTTTCTTTCTGTTTAATTCTTCAAACTTGATCTAAATAGTCATAGCCATCTATATTGTTATCTCTATGAGGGTTTGTTTTGTATGAATCTTTGCAATAAATTACACATTTCAAGAAATTGAACTTGGAAAAGTATTACTGCAAAAAAAAAAAACTGAAAGCAATTATCATTTGTGTTTGATTGCTAGAAAATACTGAGGACCAGCCCTCAGAAAATTCAACTCATTTAAGGTGTCCCAATTACGATTTTGGCCAGCTTAGGTCACTCAGAAAATCTCTGTCTGGCTTTTATATTATTAACATGATCTTTTTTTAAAAGGTGGCTTTTGTTTATTTGTCAAGAATTTTAATAGTGTGAAAGAAATGTAAGAGAGAACCACTCTACAATTATTTATAACTATAAGCACTGAGGTAAATATATTGAGATTTTAGAAGTTAAGGATCCAGTAAAAACTGACTTCAATACTTTATCTACCATGATATTATGGATCTTTGAACGTACAGTGTGTAGTCAATACCATTAGGGCCTTCTCACTAGTCCAAAATGTATAGCGCAGTATGTTTGAACTTGTATTCTCTGTTTCCAGAAAACAAGACAGTGAGATGGTTCTAAAAAATGTCTTTTGTACCAAAATGGAAGTTCACAAATTTACCTGTGGCAAGCCATCCGCTTGTGCTCATTCTTTTTGTAGCTGCCAGATTAAATATATTGGAAAATGTGATGCATTTGAATAAATTCAATTCCTATCAATAATTTTTTGCAACTGCTGTAAGAGGTTTTTATCTGATCATGAGTAGGAAGGCAGCTGTGAATTGAGAACTGGTATTTGTTAAAAAGGTTGACCAATTCAATAAGCAGTTTCTGTTTAAATATAGATGACAGTATGTCATGAGATTTAAAATTCCTGTGTTGTTATATGTCAGGCTACACATGTAACTTCTATTAAGCTAATTCTTGATAATTAAGAAAAGCAGAAAGTTAACTGTGTGTACACTAGAAAGAGATAGCAACTGACGTCTGGCTCTGTATCTGTTTATTACCTAGGAAGTTTTTCTAAAGGTAGAACTAATTGTCTTGTTTCCCATGGGTTTGCCATGACTCTAGGAATGGTCTATAGGAAGATACGAGCTCTTAGCAGAAAAGTAGAAACTTTTCTTTTGGGGAAGCATTTACAAGGTTCCACTTGTGTCCAGTAAGATCTAAACTTGGATTGCAACCCTTCCTTTGGTTGGGATACTTGCAGATATCCTTCTTCTACTTGACTGCCTATTTTCATGAAGACTGTAGTAATGTAATTATCTTTGAGTCCTCTGTTCTGTCTGTCAAATCCATTTGAAAATGTCCAGTAAGTTCAAAAGTAATTAAGAACAGAGCCACAGATGCACAGAACATAATACTGAAACTTTTTTTCATAGGAAACTGGAATGCAAACAAATATATCAACACATCCAAAACTTTTCATTAACCTCCTTACATATGAGTGTAGCATAATTACGGTTGTACAGAATTATACACCATTTTTATTGCTGGGGACTGATTGAATTTGGAACCATCGAACTCTAATTAGTAGAACACAAACGTAGCCTTATATTTTGTGAAATTCAAATGTTTTTCTTTATTTGTATTTTGTAATGTTTAGTTCTAGCATATTTTGAATAACTGCCATTGATACAGGGTATGAGGCTCTGTAGTCACAGCACAAGACGGGCACTTTGAATACCTGCATTTTTTTTCTGCATCTCTGGCAATGGAAGAAACTGACTGGTTACTCTCTTCTTCCACTTCTTTTGAGTTAATAGGCACCCTAAGGAGAGCAGGCGGATAATATGTAATACCTCTGCTTAACTTGAGGATATACCTAAGTAAAATTTGCATCTCAAATATATCAAAAGTGGAGAGGCTCTTTTTTCTCTTGTTCCAGGCCATGAGCTTCAGCTGCTTACGTTGAGTTCACTTTGGTCCTCATCTGGATTATAGGAAGTCAGTCCAGTTCAGTAAAATGGTAGAAAGTTCATCTGGCAGAAAAAGAAAGAGTGAGCTGTTCAGCTGCGCAGTATCTTGAAGCATACCCTGAGGAAAACTTGATAAGGAGCTCTCATAACCACTGTAAATATCCCAGGAGAAGAGAAAATAGACGGAAATCAAGCTGAAGTGTAGTGAAGGTTCTTTGCTTCTTGACCGATGACCAACCTGTAAGCAGTGCTAACATTGCTGAGGAAGGGCCAAATGAAGTAGCTAGACTGCAATATGCTCCACATGTTCCTCTCTTGTCCTTTGTATATAGCCCAGAGGAACTAATGACACAGTAGTGGTGTGGCTTCTTCCATTGCTTTTGGATGACAAATAGGACAGAGCAAGAAAACTGAGACAAAGTATTCACCGAAACTCAAAAAATAAGTTTTGGCAATAGAATGCGTATTCCTCATGCTTTTTGTATAGGCAGTTTTACTTTGTTATTTATTATGTTCTTATATTTTATTTCTTTAAAAAATTATTCACCCCAGAAAGTTCATAGAACGTACTAATGCAAAGACAGAGTTATAAGCCCTGAATTTTTAATGTACATTTAAGACTATATAATACCTTAATTAGTAATGTGTTGTATTACATCTACAAACACAGGGAAAATATATGTTTAATTGCTTAATAGACATCTGAGAATGTGAAACCTTCTTCCAAGGAAGTCCACCTTTCCAGTTACTTCCACAGAGTTCAATTCACATCCATATTGAGCTTTTTCTTACTGCAAAGTCTACAAATAATGTGTTTGGGTAGGGGGCTAGACCAGACCTTTATCACCATCATATTAATAACTACTTCTTGCAGAAACCCAAAGTTTGCAAAGATTTTCTTTCTCTGTGTTGAAGTTCAAAAATGACACATGTATACATGAAGGTTGTATTTTTTTCCTCTGATCAGCATGGTAGGCAAATCAGGTCTGTCTGTATTGTGTGCCTAATACTTAAAAGACGCATTGCTATCCACAACACAGGGTATAGTTCTGTAACTGTAGGAGTGTGGAGAACGGAGTAAGAATTAGTCAAGTAAATGTAAATGGCTTCATTAACATCAGATTCATGAATATGTACCTCTCTCAAAATGCTGTGTCCTCTACCACTGTTACAAAATATAGATCAGTAAATAAAATTCTGATGTTTCAGAAAGCAGAACCATTCACCTGTTCAACCATTCAAAATATTGAAAACAATATTTTGAAGTTACTACTTAATTTGTAAGTAAGATTTTGAGGTACCGTTTTGCTTGTATGTGACACGATTTGTCTTTGTTAATACAAAGGTACATTAAGTATCTCTTCCACACTTTTCTTCTATTGGTTTACACAAAAATATAAATTCAGTTTCTCATTAATGAAAGAAGGTGGTGTTTTAAGAATGATCATAAATTGGTACAAGAACAATCTGAATCATTGACAAAGCTGGAAATACGAAGTGGATGAGATGATTTCTTACTCTATATACACTGTGTAGAGTCAGATGTTTTAAATTACATGTATCTAAATTTTAGAAATAGGAAAAAAAAGAAGTATAAGTTAAGTTTTCTCCACAGTGTTAGAAAAACATGGTAATGTAGGCCTGCTGAAAAAGAAGCAAGGAATTTTTCAGTTCCTGTGTTCAGAACTTAAGCTGTAAAGCATCCATCTCTGTTATGTACGCATCGACTTGGACTTTTTGTCTGAAGTTATGAATACAGGCTACATGGTAAAGTGCCATTGCTGAGGAATAGATCATTCAAATATCTTTGCAAGATCAGAAATAATTAACATGAAAACATTCACAAAGAAATTTAATACTTCAAGAACTTTAAGATTTCAGTGCTTTCTTAGGATTTACTTTATGCTAGAGATTACTCAGTAAATTAAAAATAATGCAATGAATGTAACTTCTGCAAACTAAGTTCTTTCACAATTTTATATCAAAATAGTCAGATTTGTCAGCTATGTTGTGCATGCTGTGTGTGCCCGGTAATAATATCCTTTACATATATGGCCCAGCTGGAAGAAAACTAAATGTTGTATATTTAAAGATTTTTGTTGGTTTTCAATTCATCTTAACCATGAATGATCCTGATCTATTGAAAATTGCCTAGAATGACAACTAAAATAATTTCAGAATTTAGAAGTTGTGGTATGGTAGGAAAATGTACCTACCCTCTAGCTATATGTTTTTGTTCTGTTTACTTTGATGTCAAGTTTCATTAGTGTTTTTTGGTACATAAACAAGGTCGGCCTGAGGTCAAGCGTAGCTAAGAACCCTGATTTGAGCAAGTAGAGCTAAGGTACTGGACCGTGTGATCCTACTCTTACTACTTTTTTTTTTGTTCGGTTCTTTTTCTTCCTTTTTTTTTAACCAAATAGCAGTAAAGTCCAAATCTTACAAGAAATTACATCTATATGTTCCATATTTTAAGGTTGGAGCTTAAAGATTATTTTTTGGCCTTAGTTTGATGCGCTATTTAATTGGGTGCAGTATTACATCTCCTATACTGGATTGTGTTTCTCTCTCTTCTTAGCAGAAAGTTTGATCTGTGTTTAAATTCATTCCATTTAATTCAGAAGTGCTAGATTTAGAGAGCTGTACAGAGTATAATCAATCATTACTAAGATATCAGAAGTCCTATTTGTGATATCTGTAAAAGGAATAGAGGGACAGCTACAATTTTATGTTTATCTTCCTCTATAATTCAAAAGCTATTCAAAGTGAATACCTCTTTAAATTTGGCTTTTAAATTTTCAGTGAAGTCAAGTGGTTTCTTGCTAGTTCACTTGAAGTTTCCAGTGTAAATAATTTTGTTATAACTCATGACTTATAACAGCAAGGTATATGTTGGCCATATTGTATATGTCTCTATTAGTCAAACTGCCTCCCAGTACCTACTTTCTGGTAGAATAAACTGATTGGTACACTAGAATACATCACTTTTTTATATGAATCTTGTCATTTTAATAATAAATTTATAACTGGTGAAATCACTACATTTTGAAGGCACTTGGGTTGTGGTTTTTTGTGATAAACTTACTGAGGCATCTGAGCAGTTCACGTAAACTAACCATGCATACAAAGTAATGAGTGGGCTTTTTTGTTCTGAATGGGGAAAGTATCTGTGTACCCAAGTTTATCCCTTTATATATAATACATATGAGTGTGGCTTTTTGCACATCTTTAAAATTTAGATTATTATATTAGAGACTTATTTCTCTCTGCCCCAAAACTTTTTTACGAAACTAAGTGCTTAGCTAAGCGTTCTGAATTATTTTAACATAATTCTCTTCTAATTTATATTTAATTGCCTGCAAGAACTGAAAAATGGAACAAGTCTGAAAATCCAGGGTGGTGCTGGAGATGTGTAAAGAAAAGCTTTGGAACCTGATTTTGAGCACTTGTATTTAAGTTTCATCCATGCCTTTTAATTAATGTGGATATTCTTTGCTGAAGCAACAGTGCAGGCTTGCTGTCTCTTCAAGGGGGGAAAGGAAGTTGCAACCTGTGTAACTTGGAATGCTTTTACTCACATATTAAAATACTGACTAGTACTTAGGAAAGGTTTTGCTCCTGCACCATCAGAGCCTCCAGTGACTTAGCTGAGAGAATTAGCAGCAGAAATTGGGAAAATATTTGGGGCCGAGAGAACTTATTTAACACTCAATAGTAAAGCTAAAATGCTTCTGTTCGTTTCTGACCTTTTTGATAGAGTACCAGTAAAAGCAGATGCATTTAAACTTGCCAGTTTATGTAGGAAACTTGGAGGTTGTTTTGTTGTATTCTGTTCCTGAGATATCTTGTCATGCTACTTCTGAACTACAGATCATAACTTGAGACAACTGTAATAATTAATGGTGAATAAAAATGACTTTCATGAGCTGTCATAATCAAATTTTAGTTTGTCAATGATATAAAATTCAGTCTGATGTAAGAACAAATGGTTTTTTAGGTACTTGACAATATCGTAATTTTTGTTGTTGTTTTTAGAACATTCCTGATGTAGATGATGAAGGATACAGCATTAAACCAGAAGCAACACAGGATATCCTTTTCAGTATTACTGTGCCAAGTTATTTGATGTTATTACAATTCTTTGCAGAGAGGAAGTACTGATTAAAGCGTTAACTAAAGGAAGATGAATGACATTCATGCTCATGTTGCAACCTTGTATTCTTATGTTCATAGCTTTTGCAAAATGTACAAGATTTTGTCTAGATTTTGTGTGTGTGCAAATGTTAAAGATTAGATCAGATTACCTTGGCAACTTTAAGAGGATGTTTTTTGTCTGACAGTAAAAAAACAAAGAAAGACAAAAAAAAAGCCTGAACAAAAGCTTTAAGGTGACCATGCAGATCTTTCTCCTTGAAAAGCTCTCAGAAAGTTTGTAAAGTACAGTTTGTAAACTTTTTTAAGCATGCAGAGTGGTTATCTGTTCTATGCCTGCACTCTCCCACTTTTTTATAAAGCCATTAAAAAGATTGGGAGCTCCAGCAGTCTAGAAATAGAATTTCTGTTACTTAATGAAGTGATTACACCACATGCCATTTCTAGTTGGTGCTTCTAGCTTTTATTGTCTTTTTAATAATAGCTTTGATATGCGGAATAGATTTTTGTTATGAATCATTTTTTATATGTAGGCTCGTGATTTTTCTCTGCTTTTCCTTTGAAGGAAAAAATTCTTGTCCTCTTTTTTCCTCCCATCAGAAACAGAGGGAAGCTCTACTTAAGAGCTGGGAATAATTGCTGTAGACCTAAGCAAGCCTAATATGTTAGCAAGATAGCTCATTTTTGGAAATGTATTCACTGAATTCTCTGGGTACTACAGATAAAAGGTAAACTTAAACTTTACAATTACCTTAAATTGTGAAAACTTTTAAGCAGTTAACAGCACCTTAAAATGGGCCAGTCCATCATCATAGCTTCTCTGTTTTCCTCAACTTTGCAGAATACGCCTCTGTTGCCCCCCAGTGAAGATTCCCGTAACGATAAAAGCAGTGTGTGTTATCTCCTATTTACAAAACTGATATAAAAGTGAAAGACTTTTATCCAGTTCTGAGAGGCATTATTTCATGCCTTGCATATACTTATGAAAGGGAGAGAGGAGTGAACAACATTCATGCTTTGTAAATGATTCATCTGGGCATCCTTTTCTACATTATCCTTTTTGTTGTGAAACAATAGAAAAGGCCATACACTCAGTGAAAAAGCTCAATGATTTGCAATCCCTGTCAGCAAGGTACTATTTCAGCTTCTGAAAATGTTGGCCAGATTCAGGAAGTCATCAGTTCCCTTCCTCCTTTCCTCCCTTAGCCTCCAAGAATGAATATTTATTCTGTTGATGGGAGCTCTTGAGATGATTTGTTGGAGGACATTATTTTGCCATAATGGCAGTCAGTCTTAATAAGTCCAGTCTTAAATGTTAGAAAAGCACTTTACAAGAGCTGCCTGATTTGTAGGAAATTAATCTTGAAACTCAGTGATAACTTTCAAGACGAGATCTTTTGATGAAATGAAAAACGATTTTTCTTTAAAACTTCCTTTTCTAGATATGATCCATTTTGGGGGACAGAGAGGCTGTAAGATGAAGACATTTGACTTTGTCCTCACCATGACTCAGGGATTCTTTCAGTTGAAATGGATTTGGAATGTCTTTAGGGTTCAGGTTTTAATCTTTGTCAGGGAATAGTTTGAAGAAATTTAATTCAAATCGCTGGCGTATTTTTAAGTGAAAATAACAGAAGCAATGTATAGAATATATGCTCCCCATGGGTAGTACAAAACTTTTATGTTTAAGTAGAGGAAAATTTTCAAATTCTTTCTTGTCAAAACAAATACATCTTTTAAGACTTAGCATAGGCCTATCAGAGCTTGTGTTCACTGCAGCTCCTGTGCACATAAAGAACCAAGGCTAAATTCATCTGTATATTTTGCTTATTTTGAGGGCTGAGTTGTCATTGTGATTCCTTTTTCGCCAAGGATAACAGTGCTTTAAGCAGCTGACATTGTTCAGTTTACTCTGCAGCCTTCTGTGTACTGGCATCCTTTCTTGCAAAATTTTCAGTGCCCCTCTGCAAAAGAGGCAAGTAATGGTGGCTGCCGCTGCCGCTGCTTCCCCTGCTGTTAATGCTTGGTACAGGTCCCATGGGCATTTCACTGCTAAATAAAAACGCTAGGGCTTTCCTTCATGTGGTTTAAAAGGATTTCTACATGTTTCATATGTGTGTTAGAATCCCTGGTTGTGTCTTACAAATCATAAATTTAACATGCAGAAGTGTTGCTGTTGTAGAGTCTTTAATTTATCCTGATGCCTTCAAATATGCAGTTGTTCGGTTATATGACATAGGGCCTTTCCGAACAAAATGCCATTATGAAGACAAATGGAATATAAAAACTAGATTTTAACTCTGAGTTGTGAATTTTGGACAGTGGATATATTTGAAGTGTCTGTATAAGTGCACAAAGAGGTTAGACAGCATTGTTTATCTGTGGTGTTCACTTAATATGAGCATTTTGTAGAGCGTAATTATGAAGTGGATTAAGCAGATGAATTTGAAGTATTTCCACCTTAACTGAGAAAAACATACCAGAGAGAACCATTTCTATTCTTCCAGTGATTCTGACTCTGAAGATGATGAACCCAGGAGGTTCCATGTAGAAATAAAACCTGTCCAGCCAAATAATAGCTCTCAATATACCATGCCTTCCTTGGATGAATTAAAAGTATCTATAGGGAACATCACTCTTTCTCCAGCAATATCTGTAAGTTATTTTGTTCCTTGTATTTTTAACGTGTAGAAGAGAAAAGTGGTAAAGAATCTTTAGTGTAAACATAAATTTTACTGTTCAGAATTTATTCTAGGTTCAAGTTCAATGATTCTTTTTTTTCTTGTGGACTAGGTCATCTTTGGTACACTTTATTGCAGTGTAACATTAAGTAATTCTCCCTTCTCAGATTTTAACTTTCCTTTGAGTCCTGGAAGTGATCAGTCCTTGTCTTTCTGCAGTTGCCACCATGAGACATTTGAATACATTGTGGAGTTAGCTGAGCATGGCTTTCAACATAGCTTACTAGTTAGTATTCGATAATATACAAACCTTTAAAACATCATATAACATGGATACACATAACATTTACAGTGCAGTTTTATTGATGTATTCTGCCAATCCACAGAATGATTCTTTATACCATGAGATGATACTACAAATAAATAGTATTAAAGTATGCGAGTATAATATTCAGATCAGAATAAGAATGGCTCTGATTTTAAGGAAAATATTGTGCATAACATCTTAAAATAATAATGATGATTTTTCTCTTTTCTCCCCCATATTTTGAAAGCAGAGACACAGTCCTGTAAGTACAGAATGCCTTTTTATTCGCATTTTTAGATTAAAACCAAGTAAGTGTAGTATGTGAGGGGAGTTACTGGGAAAACCTTAGGAATGTTTCTTTTCATATATTCCATGTGATATATAAGCTGTTTAATTTTACTGCCCCAGCCTGTAAAGGGATTTAGTAATACTGCTCCCTTTGTCAGCTCTACAGTGCTCATTCCTGCCTTTTCTTACTGGTGTGGCAGTGGTGTGCACTGGTTGCTCTGTCCTGGCTCATGGTCTGGTTTTCTGCAAGCTCAGAATGTTTTGCCTGGCGTTGAAAGCAAAGTATCTCATAGAAAGTTGGGTGGCAATAAGAACTCTGGGACCATTAAGCGTTTTATTTGACAGCTGGTAGAAGAATTTATTCCTTTTTTTTTTTTTTTTTCCTGTTTCAGGCACAAATGAATCGCAATTCATCCAGTAAGTGTGAATAGTGTGAATCCTTAACTTTTAGTCTATTTATGCTAGTTTTTTAACATACCATGAAAATAGATTTTTTTTTTTTTTTTAATTGTTGAAGAAATAAACTTCTTAAGTATCTGTCTTTTAAATAGGAAAAAAATATTTCTCTTGTCAGTTCTAGATACCTCTTCTTTTTCTATGTACTCAGCTGTTCCCTGTTCTGGGAAACAGATGAGACTGTCTGTGACAGTGATGAGGAACACATCCAAGAGCCAAAGGGGGCATCCCCATGGAAAAGACTCCTGTGCAAGTTCTTAAAACCCTTCCACCTGCTCAAGTTTAGTATGATGTACAAACCAGCAAAGCACACTTCTCTATTTTATAGTCAAACACGTAAAATGTGGCCATGGAGACAGAGCATTGGTCTCTATCCTGTAGGGTTTTTTTTAGTGGAAAACCAAGCCAGATTTGCTGAAGAATATTGATGTAAACAGTATAATTTAAGAAAGAAACTTCAAGTGAACAACACTTCCTCCCGAAATGCATTGCTCTGTGTAGTCCTCTCCTGTTAGAAGGAATTTATATTATTGGAAATAATGCATTTTCTCTTTTCCATTTCAATAATTTATAATTAGTTTTGAACTGCAACCATTAATATTTATAGTTTCATCTTTAGAAATTCATCTTTTTATAATGAAGTTGGAATTTTCATTTTAGAGTGTGATCAGCTTTGGTGATAATACTGTGTCTTTTGCTTAGGTGAAGAGTTAACAAAATCAAAGCTTTCTGCTCCAGCTAATGAGTAAGTTCAAATTTAAAATTCTGTCAAATGCAGTTTTGCAGGAATTTGGTCTTATTTTGATCTAATACTCAGAAACTCATTGGAAATATCAGCTGACTGCTATTTTAAGTCAGGCATCTATTGCATCCTAAGAGTTAAGGAATAATTATGTAACAGTGGAGATCTCTATTCATTTGTTTTCCCCTTCTAACGCATTTGCTTCATTGCGATCTGTCTCAATTGATATTTATAATTACATGATTACAAAATACTGGTTTTTATTAAAATCTCAGGTTTTAAATAAGACAGGTTTAGTTTCTATCCTATAGTGTTCCATGGTAAAGATTACAAGCCCCAGATTTGGACAGGTCTGTATACATTGCTTATATATGTATACCTGATATAAATGGATTTGAAGATGTATGTCTCCTTGAAAATGACAATCATTTAGCTGACATTGTGAAGCATGTCCAACACAAACTTGCACCATGGTGTCAGTTCAGATAGTTTCCTTATGTGTAAATCAGTTCCTTGACCTGCAATTTGTAAGTACTTTTTATTTTTAGATGCAAAGACTTAACTAATAAAGAAGAATTTATCAAATTTATTTATCATATCATCATATTTATTATATTATCAAACTACTTCTGAAGTTCTAGTTTGATTTTTATGAGTATATACATCTTTCATTTATATTCCAATTGTAACTCATAATATAGAAAAGGGAACAGTGACCTCCTGGCATGGGATCCACTCTTCAGCAGTTCTCTTGAATCTTCCTCTTCAGCTTCCTTGGCATCCTCATCCTCCTCAGGTAAAATATTTGGTAGTAGAAAATATTTTCTCTATATACTTCAGGATGTTCTGTTGTTGCTTTTTTAGTTATTGCAAGGGGACATGCTTTGACTATTGAAATGGAAGAATGTTGTAAAGCACTATACTATCTAATAAGTAATACACAAGTGAGGGTGCAGTATATCAGGCTTTCAAGCTAGATAGCAAAGGGGAAGAGGGAACACTAGAAACCTTAGGAAAATTCTATCTTGCTTCTGCCTTTTTTTATCATCTTATCTTACTTTCCAAAAAAATGATCACCACGTAGAATATAATCCTATTTTTTCAGCTGGTAGGGCTGGGAGATTAAGTGGAGTTGTTGCAGCAACTGTGAGACAAGCTGAGCTTGCGCTGTGAATAGGGATGGGTTTCTTCTTTCCAGGAAAGCCTGAGCTATGTACTACAAAGGCACCATGGAGCTTTGCTGTGAGGACCTTGTTTCCTGTAGGAAACCATGATTCTGTTAGATGTGCGGGCATAATCCAAGGGGAGATGGATAAAAATGGCAGGACTGAGACTAGAATTAAGGGGGAGTTCCTGGCACCACCTGAGAGCGGGGGTATTGGGAGGAAAAGGGTGGGCGGAGGAGTATGGGAGGTGGAGGGGGAGGGCAGGTGTTGCGTGGGAATTTTGGGGTGCAGGATTCTGGAGGATTTTAATGTGGCGGGCTTTCCTGAAACCTGGGCTTTGGGGGGGGGATTGGGGAAGGGGGGACGGAAATTCACAAAAACAGTCAATATTGATTGTTACATTCAAAAGGCAGTGAAGGAGAGGGAAGCAAAATAGCATGAGTGGGTGCGTGTGTTGAAGAGGCTGAGAGTAGGAGATGTTGAGAAACTAGTTCAGAAAAAGGAAGGAAAGACCAAAACAAAACCAGATATGGCTATGTTAGGACCTGCTTACTAGAAGTATTTATTTAAATTTTGTATTATTTATGTTGATTATCTTGGGGGATTTAAAGCAGACTCTACTATTTACTAACAGTAGCAGATAGGCTGTTTCCATAGTTCTTTTCAGTCTACTTTACCTGTATCTCTTTGCCAACCCCTGTCTTAATGTAGAGACTCTTCTCCTCCCACGTGCCTGAGAAAGGAAGTGTTCACTGTTTCTTTTAGCTATTCCTATTCCAAAAATTATGATAGACCTCACTTCTTTGTTCATAGTCATGGCTTTCTAGCTCTTTTCCTCTGTGCTTGATCATACAGATTGAAGAACAGTAAGGAGGCGTACATGTATCAATAGGGGAATTCTGCACAACTAGTGTTAATTCTTCTTGGCCTTAGTAATGTTCTTTTAGCAGCAACCAGCATTGCTATGTAACCCTTTGGGGTTTAAGTGGAACTTATTCTTTCACTACAAATTTGTGTTCCGTAAAACTTACGGTTTTTAACAAATCTGGCTTACAGAAATCATTAGATTGCCACTTCCTCACTTAGGTAACCAGTCAAGATTATTGGCTAGTGGATCCAAATTTGTAACATATTTAAGGATAAATTATATAGAGATACGTATTACTGGAATATGCTGAAAAGAAGCGGTGCTTTCTCAAAATAATCTGTTTTGCTAGCTTTGGTCTGGTGTTGGAGTCTGTAGAGGAAGGCAGAGGATACTTAATTTGTTGTGCTGGTGGTTGTTACTGTATCCACTTGTTTATTGCTACGCCTGGATGGGAAGTCAAAGCAGGTTAGGAAATGTTCATACAGTCCCTCCTGGCAGCAGAACTGTGGAGAAAATAGTCTCTGGCTGATGAGTAGTGACAGGTAATTGGGATCTGTAACATCCTCTGTAGTCATATCTGGGAGGGAGTCATCTACACAAGCCCTTATATGTGAAAGAGGCCTATGCACAGAGCCCTACATTTCATTCAATTTGGTGGAATATAGTGTCCTGTGGGTATAAGTTGATTTTAGATATAAGACATTTGTGCCTTGGCAACCTTTATGTACTAAATAATTATTTAAAGGATTGTTGTTCTGGGAGTTAACTAAGATATTTACACTTGTGGAATGATCCATGGAGTTAAGTAGAAAGTGACTGTTCTAAAGTATAGCAAATTACTAATACATTGGGGGGGGAAAAAAACTGGATCAATATAGGTCATATTGTTGTTTAAATCAAGTTCTGATGCTCATTAACCTGCAGCTTAGTTCTAAAGACTTTAAAAAATACACAACTTTGATCTGATTGTATTTTCCTTGAAATCAGTGTTTTATCTTCAACTTTAGCTTACCTAATATAGGTAAGCTGATGCTTAAAGCTTTTGAAAATCTCAATCCAAAACTTAAATTACGTAAATGAGTTGTTTTGTATACATATCTGCATATCATGATGTAGCATGTCCCACAGATTACTTTTTACTGTTAAAACATTTCTTTAGATATTGTTTCGTAACTCTGTGTTAATCATTGAACACTTAAACTACCATGGTGTTTGAGCAGACAGTGCTTTATGCAGCACAGAAGTAAACTTTGGTCATCCATGAATAATCCTGCTTTATTAGAAGTTTAAGTTAACTTTGTTATCTTGAATAAACACAACAGACATTTTTTAGCCAGCTATTGATACTGTAAAAATGCTTCTTTTTATTTATCTTCCTCATTTTCATCCATACATATTTTTAAAATAGTTTTGAACATTTTGAATAGGATTTAGAGTAGTATTTTAAAGCCTTTGAATGATATTTAAAATACCTGTTTGAAAGGGAAAGCTGTGTAAAAATTCTGTTTGTGTGGGCTTAGACAATGTACTTGTTCATGGCAAGAGGACCACTGTAAAGAGGACACCTATACTTTTGATCTGAACTTTTAAACGTATTGCTCTCTTTTTTGATTCTGTCTGTGACTCTGTGGTTGCTTCTAGCTTTGCCAATCTGCAAGATGTTGAGAATTTACTAACCTTGCATTTTCTGCTTCTGTTGTCATCTATTGCAACAGACAACAGCCAAGTGCAGGGAATACTTGTGGAAAACTCCTGTTTTCCAGCAGCCTGAAGACTATAGGATGAGAGAGGAAATAAACTGGTGTGGATGATGCCTTATACATATAGTTACGCACTAGACACGGGTTGATACAGACAGAAGAATATCAAACAGGATCTCATGACTGCATTGTCTTCATTCATTCACCAGACAGCCATTTATGTTGAGCTTTCCCATTACAAATGCTAAGGGTAAGAAGATAAAAATGTTTGGAAGGAACAGGATAGGATATGTTTGACTAAATAACTTTGAGAGAAATGAAAAGCAGAAAGCTACGTAGAGGAAACAAAAACGGAGTAGGACACGAGAAGGAAAAGACAAAGATGAGAGGAAGTTAAACCATAACAGGAAGGAAGTTAGAGGAATAAGGAAAGTCATGAGAAATAGGGCCTTAAGTGGAGAGAAACACAATAAATTACTTTTTGGCTTACTTGAAAAATGGAAAGTGACATAGTTGGCAGTATGAATGAAGTACCTGTGATATGTGGCTGGGGTTTTTTTCTTTTATTTGTAAGTGGTGGGATTTTTAGCCTAGTAGAGCAGTAATTTTTCATGCTGGCTAGTAATCCTCATGCAGTGGATATTGAATACTTTTTTGAATATTGAAATTTTTATCTTTTCAGTGCTGGTCCTAGTTTCAATTGTTCCCTTTTCCTTCAGCTACACTAAAAGAGCACAGTAGGAGCTTCTCCTCATCTACCACTGATTTGCCTGGGTGTAGAGTATCTCAGTCTTTGCTTCGACACCAGACAGACTCTGGGTCTACAAGCCCATCCTCACCAGACTTTACCATTAGCACTTTGTGCAAATCTGGTGTTACAGCAGTGCCATCAGGGACTACCAGTACTTTGTCCTGTGTTTCACGGTCTCAGAATCAGTGGATTTCCTTTGCTGATGAACTTCTTACAATTAGACACACAAGCGCAGACAAGAAGGAACCCCAAATATTGCATTTTAAAACTGAAAATGCCTGCCTTGCCTCTTCTGCTTTGCTTGGGAATTCTTCCAACAGCTGTGCTTCTGAGGATCAAAGTGACCTTTTCAATAATACCCTATGCCATGAACAATTATTCATTGAAGAAACTGGCACTGCTGCTGAAATTTCTTCTGCATCATCTTCAGCACTACTGGACTATAGTTTAGTGTCTTCTTGTGCTCATACAAATAAGGGTATGGCAAGCATGCATTGTGTACTGCTCTTTGCGAATAACTGACTCCAAAAAGCAAGCTTTGGACTCATTTTTCTTTTTGTTATTATTGCTCATCTGATGTTAAAATTAACTCATCTTCTTGCTTAGAATGTACTAAACTGCTTGTTAGCAGCAACTTCCTTGAAAGTTAGGACGATGAAGTAAATATCCACCTTGAAATAAGAAGAAAAATCCAAATTATTCAGTTAAAGGCATTGCTTTGTCTTAACTATGCAGAGTTTTGCTTTTCTAGTAATAGGAATGTATTTTGGGGGGATGTCAGACAGCAGTGAGATCTCAAAGATTAAGTGATTGAATTTGCAAAACCAATTCTATTCCTCAATGGCTTTGTATAGATATTTTCAGATTAAATAAAGTTAAATTAATTGGATTTAAAACTGTTCCTTTTTAACACCCAGTATTTTGAAGCGTGGATGATATCACGGTAATGCTACATACTAAGAGGGCAAAGGAAAAGTGCATTTGGGCAAGTGTGCCATGACTCACTGACTACCTGTGGTACTGCAGCACACTACTCAGTGTTTAGCATGCGTTGTTGTCTTGGGGCATAATAAGAATTTTAAAGGAATGAATGATATTTTAGAAGTTCATTTATTTGGTGACATTTGAGTTTGCAACTCTTAAGATGGAAGTGGTCAGTATTAGCCTAATTTCTTTCTCCCCAAGTCAGTGATGAAACTCCCGTACTTAAACAACAGCAGAATTATGCTGAATGCCTGAGAAAACTCCATACTTAAAAGCTGTATTTTAAGTAACATTCACTGATTTAATTAAAAAAGACCCATCCAGAATCATTTGAGGGAGGTAATAGGATGTGCTGCAACAACATAGTCATATTTTAGGATTTCAGTCTATTTTGAAGTTAATTTTAGATCTGGAGTACTCATTGGATGGCATCTAACATTTATTTTGAAATACAGTTCTATTCGTTCTATTCAGAAAAGTGACTTTGTAGAAGTGGCATCTTTGTACTATTGTCACCATCTCTTAGTTGTTTCTGTTACGTTTAGAAGGACATGGGGGCAATATTTTTTTTTAACTGCTTTTTACTTCTGATAGCTCAGCTAAGAGATAATAAGGAGTTAGTGTGTTTTTACAATCAACAGAGTAATTTATCTGTTACACTGGTGTATACTTATTGAAGTCAGGATTTCAGTGGGCAAAATTTGGTGTGAACAGAGTTATGCAATTGTCAGCCAGGACCAAATATGAATTTCCACTGAATTTTCCATTTGTGGTGAGACATGAAAGACTGTCCTGTATTCTGAATCCATATAGATTATACACAAAAGGAAACTCAGGTAAAACCATATTTTTACATACAAACCTCCAAGAATAGTTGGTATAAAATCATTCGAAAGCAATGAGAAAGCCCATGATGCCATTTTTAGAGTCACTTTTCAAGGTATCACATGGCCCTATTTTAAAAGCATTTATGATTAGTGGTAAATCTTACAAAATTGAGCTTGTAAAATAGGAACTTTTAATAGAAACATAACTTCCAGTTATTCTATTCAAGTGAGTATGTGTTTATGTTCAGTGTGACCTTTCTAATATTTATTTTCTTAAATTTGCTTTCTTTCAGCAAGGCCCACAACTCCTCTTTCTGTAGGCAGCATTGTACCCCCTCCAAGGCCTGCTTCAAGACCAAAGCTGTCTACTGGGAAACTTAGTGGGATTAATGAAATAGTATGTATTGGCTGTTTTTTTAATTCTCTGTTGTAACTTGATTTCAGATATACCATTTTTTTCCACTGTTGCAGTGGAGTTACTTTCCAGCAGTTTTCAAGGAATCACATAAGCAGATTTTCACCATTGTCAGATAGGCATGGAAGTTGTTCATGATAATTATATTACTATAACAAAATAATTCTTAACAGAACTACAAAGGTCCAAAACATAATTTTTGCATCAGCTGAATGTTTTTAATTGAAGAAATCGGTAATTTGATAGTGAAAGGATAGCATGTGTATGAGATTGAAACTCTCAAAATGAAATACTAGCGAAGTTATAAACAAAGCTCCACTGATTTAGGAATATCACCAAAGCTTTGGGGAACGAATGGCATTAAGTAGATCTTTATCAGTCACGTGTTGATACAAGTAGCCCTGCTGTGACTCCTCCATGCCCTTGGTGCTGGTTGGTGGAGAAGGGAGGTGGCAGATTACAGCAGCTGCCCATCGGGATAGTGAGAGGTTGCACGCTGCCTGCATCTCTGCTTAGTCCCTGCAGTGCAGGTCCACCTGCCGATAAGGAATGTGGCAAAGAATGCAAATACCCAGGCAGTGTATCAGACCAAGCCATGCTTAATCTCTTCTGTGAATATTAGGATTCTTTGGGTTTCATTTGACTTACTGACTTCGAAAAATGTTACTGTGGTAAGATCCTCTTACTGTCTTTCAAAGTAGCAAGGTATTTTCACCATATTCTTATTATGGACAAAATTCTGGTCTTATGCTTTGACAAAACTGAAACATTTTTAAACTGGCAAAATCACAAGTACCCCAAAGACAGAGTTTCATCCTTAGCTCTCAGTTGCCTGGATTTAAGTAAGCTCCATGCTATTACACTAATAAATTATTTTTCTCTTTTAATTCCAGTGTGTCTGCACAAAGCAGACAATAAAATATGGGCAGAAGGAGCTGCAAGATGAGACAAGATAGAGGCTTGATCTTTTTTCAAATTAACCTGACTGCTCTGAGTTATTTGAGGAGATAACATGTTTTTTCCTCTTGAGGCTACTGAAACCGAGGCCTCAGAAATCCCCAGATTGGGAGGGTGTGCTCGGCCCCAGCCCTGCTCCTTTTGCAATTGCCTGGGACAGGGAGAGCACCCCAGCCGGGACCACCTGTGCTCATCGGTGGGGAGCCAGGGCAGACATAGCCGTAGGCAGATATACCAATTCCCGTATTGTTTTGCATTTCTGTAAGGTCAGAATAGAGTTCATTTTGAGATTCTTTCTCATTCCAATATAAAATTGTAGTAATTGCTCTTAGACCAAGGAATCTGTTCTTCATGTCATCATAATTAAAGAGAAGAATTTAGCTGGTACTGTTCTGCTATAAAGTATGATTCTGCACAGAGCTACATTCATTTTATACTGTCGTTTTAGAAACTGGCTATTATCTGGATACAAGTGGAAGATTGTCAGTTGTCTTCATTATATATCAACTCCTTTTACAATTCCCAATTTATACAAGTCTGTATAAAAGCCACATACCCAGCAACAAGTGTGATATATCTGAAATAAAATTAAAAAAAAAAAGAAAACAAACAGTTGGCCAGCCAAAATAGATGCTTCAGGGGTTCCAGTACTTTTTAGATAGGTTAATCCCAAAATTATCATTAGTTAGTTTAATACCTTAACAGTTACGTGAATCATAAAACCATCCAGAGATTTAGGATGGAAAAGACTTTTGAAGATCTCTAGGCCAACCTCCTGCTCAAAGAAGGGCCGACTTCAAAATTGCATCAGGAACATGCTGAGTTTTGAAAATCTCCAGAGAGGGAGATCTTACAATCTCTTCAGGCAGCCTGTCCCAGGGTTTAACCACATGGTTACAAGAAGGAATTTTTTCCCTAAGTTCAGCTGAAATTTCTTTTGCTGTAGCTCTTGCATCTCTGAGAAGAGCCTGACTCCGCCTTCTTTGTACCCCCTTTTAGCTAGTAAAAGACTGCTAGTAGATCCCTCCTTAGGCTTCTGTTCTCCAGGCTGAACAAACCCAGGTCCGTCAGCCTGTCCCTCTCTCTCACGTACTCCAGTCCCAACTATTTTAGTTGCCCTCTGCTGGACTCACTTCCAGTTTGTTAGTTGCTCTCCTTTAGCTCTGTAAATCCACATTTGCTGCATACATACGCAGGGCTGTAAGCTTAGGTTCTGCTAGTGTGTTATAGCACAATTATTGACAGGCTGCTATGTAATTAAGTAGATCAGACTTAACTACCCAGGCAAAAAATTAATAATGATTATCTGTGAAATAATGGAATTGATTCCAATAGAAAATGTGGGTTCTCTGTTTTACACTAAAAACTAGGGTAGATAAAGCATTAAAGGAACTATGTTGAGAAACACTATGAAATCGATTGGGGCATGAAATGAAGAACTCTTCTATTTACCATTCTTTAAAACTTCTTTAAAACCAGTTTTCACTTCTTTAAAACCAGTTTGTGTAATACTCTTGTAATCTGTTTTATTCAGCCTAGGCCATTCAGCCCTCCATTGACCTCTAACTCAAGTCCACCTCCTGCAGCTCCCTTGGCACGTGCAGAGAGCATTTCCTCAATATCCTCTTCTGCTTCCCTCAGTGCAGCAAACACGCCTACAGTTGGTAAGTTAAATTAACCATTTTAACTCATTTTAGAAATAGCATAATTCTGCCACTAAGTTCCACCCAGTATTAGGAAAACCATTCATTGGAGTTAGTTGTTCCAATATGTGAATCCAGTCTAGGTAGTTCAAGCATCCTTTGCAATACCTGCTTCTAAATGACACTGAGAGACAGGACAGTGGATTTAATTAGATTAGACCATAGATCCAATTATGGCATGTTCTTTAAGGAAATATTTTTCAAAATTAATATTCCATGAATTCTTATTTAGTATGCTCTTATATCCATTCATCAAGCACAATGTGTTATCATGTATTTGTTCAGAAGATGTTATTGTATATGTGCAGAAATATTTTGGGATACTGATAAATTTGAATGAATATAAATGTTCACAAAATTGAGGTTTTTTATGTTCTTTTTATTTTGTTTGTTATCCTGTAATTGCAGCTTCGAAAAAAATGAAACTAATGCATCTTTTTCTTCAAGTTAGTGAAGTATATAAGCTAAACACGGATGTTTAGTAAAAGCAAAACAAACAACCAAACAAAAAAGATGAAGATGAAAAGCAAATTAGTCTTCATGTGTTGCCACTAATTTCAGAAGGTTTTCTCATGTTTTTAAAGGAAAGTCCTTCAGTTTTGGTATTTGGTTACAACAAATGAAAAGAAGACTTATTAGGGCGTTTTGGGGAGGTTTTTTTAAAGACATTTTAACTTGTTTCTTTAGCAGAATCGAAGTATTTCATTCCTGAATACTATTACCACTTTAGTCCCAAGTTAAATCAGATTCTTGAGTTAACACTCAGTTATCTGTGAATGTTACTGATGCCAAGGATTCCTCACCCAGGCTCAGCAGCTCAGGAGAGCATCTGTACAGCTTCTAGTGGGATTCTGCACTGAAAGCAGTGCAGCTGTTTCCACCCTATGCAGGACCAAAGCTAGTCTGCCCAGCCTTAGCTGCTACAGTTCAGTAGCCACCAGTTTCGCAAATGCTGAGAAGCATCACAGAAAGATAACTGATATTTTGGTTGCCAAAGTCCATCCAGGCTCACAACCTCAGGCCTCAGCGCAGGTGCCAAGGAACCAAAAATTGGTGGCAGCAACATCAATAGCCCCAGCTCTGTGTGTGTGTGTTGTTGGAGACAGTGACAGAGTGAAATCGTGAGGTGAGGGAAGAGGTAAGGAGGTGTGTGCTGACACCGAGGTTTGTTATGGTTATTAACCTGGCCTAGCAAAAACAAACGGCCAGTTCCATCTGCACTGACTGTATGAATTAAATAGTACTGGAGAGCTGGGAAGGAGAGTGCAGACGGCTGAATGACTTTCGGGCATGAGGATATACCCTGCACTACTGTCTGTATTCTTTTGACTTTTGCACAATCCAGTGTTTCCCTTACTCTATTTGTTCTGACTAATAATCTTTTTCCAAGCAAACTTTAAGGCATGCATAATTGAATGTTTCTTTTATGCTTTGTTTTAATTTGCAAGGTATTTTTATATATATTGATTTTTTAACATCTATTTTTGCTTGAAATATTCTTTTTTCTTGCAATGTTTTGTTTCATTTAAATGTAATAGAGGATGATCTTTTGATTGGGAATCTTCCAACAATTGAAAAGCTTTGTGAGACACCACCAGGTATTGTACTCAAAGCAGATTTACATGTTAACTAATCATCCTAATATACTACACCTAAAAAAATTGTATTTCTTTTGAAACAAGTTTCTCCAGCTATTTCTGGTATCTGGCTCGACTTGAAAGCTCGACTACTTAACAAGTTATAGGTTGCTGAAATCACCAAAACTTGATATAACCACTTTCATATAATGTAATCTTCTATTTATCCTCCCGCCCCCAATAAGCTGAAACTTGGTCTTGCTTCTTTGTTTTGTCATTACTACTTTCTTTCAAGTAAAGTGACTATATTTTTACTTTGACAATCCTTATTCTCAAAGACAAGTAGGTAAAAATGTTTTTATATTTACATATAATACAAATCTTGGAAGATACATATAATAAAGGTAATCTTTTTTTAAAATAAATTTTATTTTGGCCGTTTAGCCACTATTAAAATTGTCTGAATCTTTGTTCCTAAACTGAACTAAAACCATTTGATCAGGTTTATTTATTTGCCCTTTTTATGACCAATGATGCAGCCTTTTCTTCTGCAGTTTGGCAACCTCTTTGAGTGTGTCAGTGCAACTATTTGCATGGTTGTGTCACCAGCTCTTAGTCAGCACAGCTCAGGGGGTGTTAATGGTGGTTGGTGCTCAGGCAGGTGGCAGGGCATCAAAGCCAGCTTTGCTGTCACTGCCAAAGATGCTAGAACTCAAGGTGCTTGAGCTGGGCTGCAGCCTGAGATGCAGCGAGGCCGCCTTCACGCAGCTCTGTGACGTCCCATCCCTCTGAGAGCTCGCAGCAGGCGTGGAAGGCTCTGAAGCTGGATATCGCTGCATTGCATTGTATTTTCAGCAGCAAGGCAACAAAACGATGACTTCCAGAGTTAGGTTAAGCAGTTATGTTTGTTTCAATTTATTGTTTTTTAGTAGAACTCATAGATTTTTATGAATCAAAGGGTGACGAACAGTGGGGGCAGAGCAAATAAGAAAGAAGCTATCTCATTTGTAGTCCCTCAAATACATCTCAGAGAAATGTATATACATATATATATATATATATTTGCTTTGGTGTTCTCAAAAAAGAGAGTGTTATTCCTAATAAATTTCACTCTTCAGTCAAGAAATCAGTATTTGTCTTTTACCAGTAGGTATATAATTTATATATTTGCATTACTCTGCACGATTTTCAAATATCAATATAAAAATATATGCAAAGTCATTGTAAGTAAAAGATTTAAAAAATAATTTATACATCTGTAAACAATCTGGCATAATACAGGGTAATCACTCCTATCTGCTCTGCAATTGTTTGTTGTTCCTTAGTAAATTGGGGGGAAAAGGACAGTAAAACACCCCGGCAACCATAGTGCCCCATCCATTGAGTGCATATTTTGGCTTTGGTGGAGAATACTTCTGGAGTTCAGTATTTCACCAAACAGACTTTCTGGTTGTTGTTAAATCATTGTTTTATTGCACATTTGCTTTTTGAAATCATGATTTCTGGATTCCTGAGACTGTTGAGAATCACAGCTTTTATTGGTAGTTTTCAGGGAGAGAAGGAAAACTTTGGAAACATGACCTATGTATTGTCTGAAAGAATAAATAAAAACAACCTACTGGTCATATTGAAAAAATAAATAAATCAGTGTTTTGTAGCCAGCATTATAATGTTTCGTTCATCTAAGAATTTTTGGTTTTGAACACTTGTGACTAGAGTATTGCTCTTGATCTAAGGAGGCCTAAGTGTTGCACTATGATTTTTTTTTTTTTTCATGGTGCTGAGAAGTATTCTGAACATTTTGCTACTTTAAGCAAGAAGTCATGATGGAGAGTGAGGTATGAGGTAGCAGAATTAAACCAATTCCTGTCTTTTACTCTCTTGTTGTTAGTACTTCTTTCACTTATCTCTGAATTTAAGGTCTAATATGAGATAGATGTTTTTCTGTGAAGAACAAGGTCCCGACTTCCTTTTTGCTTCTGAAAGAGCTCAGAAGGCCACAGCCACTGTTTTAGAGTAAATAGGATTAGTTTGCCATGAGCAATATTATACGGAAGCATTTTGTTTCTACTTTATGGTGTGAAAGAAAAATTTCTCATTTTGCTCATGAAACGAGAAAGATTGTGCCTCCTTTGTGATAGAAAATATTATGTGATACAGGCCATTTCAGCAGTGATACGAAAAATTAGTAAGATGCTCTCCACTACGCTGCTGCACTAATAAAAAGACGGAACTTCCAGTATTGTCTTTTATATTCAGTACACATACAGAAAACTGATGAAAAGTAAAAGCCCATGACAACTGGTTTTGTCAATTGTACACATGCATTCCAAAAAGCCTTAGCATGAGATCTAAGTTGATTTTTATAGCTATGCATTGGAACTGTGTTGTTTTGGCACAGGCATCTGTGAAGGCTTCTCCAACAATTTCTGCTTGGGAATTGTAATCTTTGTTGGCTGAAATAGTTAAAAGAATGTTCAACAGTTCACTTACATGGGGTAATATTAATGTATTTGCATTTAAGTTCATGCATACTGTAAGTGAATTCTTTGCATTTCTGTGACCATTTTATCATACATTTTTCCATACAAGAAGCATACAGTAGGGATTTTTTTAAAAGTATTCTAGTCAATGTCTAATTTCCTTTGGATCTGTTGACTTCACTTTCATTAGCAGCCATTTTAATGCAGTGTTCCTCTGTCTCATATGTATTTCCTTGTGTCTGTCCATTTACATAATGTTATACTGGTAGTCCTGTTTTCTTAGGCTGCTAAGCAGTGTTTTGATGGTGTGATTGTACTGTACTATGTTCATGTTTTTCTACACACTTTTCAAGTAATACTTCAGAAGCTACTGTGACCTTGATGGTGGTAACCTCTTGTGAAAATTACAGATGTGGTCAACCGTTCTGAAATCTATTGCTAAGCTTTTTGAAAATTAAAACTATACACTGTATGTATTCTAGGTGTTTCACGTGGTCCCAGCCCTGTCAGCCTTGGAAACCAGGACACCTTGCCTGTTGCAGTAGCCCTTACTGAATCTGTTAACGCCTACTTTAAAGGAGCAGATCCCACAAAGTTAGTTAAATAGTGAATTGTTTTGAACGTAATAAGTTACAATAAGAAAACACACTGGGTTTACTTTTAATATTTTGGCAGAAAATGTATATACATTAGAAGGGGGATTCAAAGGGGTCTTTTTCCCTGGTGTAAGTGACAACAGTGGCTTATTGCTCTGTATTGGTCTGCATCCCGCTAGGAGTTCATATATCCCTGCTTTACAAAAATGTGTTCAATGAGAGCACTGAAAATGGGAAGGGGTTTTATCATAGTCAGATAGGTGCTACATGTAAATTTGGGCAGCTAAAAGCACCTCATTCCGTCTGTCACATCCCTTGCTATGCTACTTAGGCCTTGCCTAAGCATAGTTGTGCCATGTTTTCAAAGCCTGAAAAATACCTACCAAGACTACTGTATGCTTAACCAGCTAAACTTTTTTCTTTACTTATTTCATCTGATTTCCAAGTTCAAATTGATAGTACATTGTCACAGTGCCACATTACTCTCATTTGAAATTGATTTTCTGTTTTTAATTCAGTTCATCAGATTGTGAAAGTACAGTGATTGCTTTAAAATTAGTATTAAAACTAGGCAGTTAATGAGTTGCAATGAAACTGATGTTTTCATTCTCTTCTAGATGTATTGTGAAGATTACTGGTGATATGACAGTATCATTCCCAAGTGGGATTATTAAAGTCTTCACCAGCAATCCATCTCCAGCTGTGCTCTGCTTCAGGGTAAAAAACACAAGCAAACTAGAGCAGATTCTTCCAAATGCACAACTTGTATACAGGTTTTGTATTTTTTTTAATATAATAGTAAATTACACGATTTGTAAAATGTGAGTTGTATATGTAAATCAGAATTCTCTACAGTCTTGTTGATTTGCTTATACATAATTTAATTCCTGAATTAATCTTGTTCAGGTCAGTTCTCTCTACTGCCACCATTAAAAATTCAGTGATTACTGGACTTGAAACTTGTGCTGAGTATAACAGGAGCCATAAAAAATAGTTTGTAAATGTAGCTGTGTTTTTACATGCATTTTATAAATTATTTCTTTATAGTAGTAACAATGCTAAGATTAAATGATGGAACAGTAGCCTTAAATGGAAAACAAGTAGTAGGAGCTACACCTAATCTCATTTGTCACTTACTAGTGTATTTTTAAGCTGTATCATTTCTATAGTAGATCTGATCCATTACATAACTGTACCTCAGGTGTGTAGCAGCATGCTTGGGAGAATCCTTAAGAAAAAAGGCTGCTGATTGAGTAGGATAATTGTTGAAATCACAGCACTTGGAGGTGTTTAAAAAAAAAAAAAAATTATAAAAGTTGTAAATATTTAGCAGAGATCTGTTTCAGCTGAGCAGTTTCATTTACTGGAGAAATTATTTAAAAATTAGTTAAATGCTTTTAGATGCTACATTTTTTAAATTACTAAAATAAAGACAGAATCAAACCACAGGCATCCATTCTTTTGTATTTAATTTCATTTTGAAATTAAATAGTATGAATTTCATTCATACTTAATGTAATCAATGATTCAAACAAAATTAAATTGTTTTTTGACATGACAGTTTATAACTGAAACGTTAGCAGAGCTGTATCTGACAGAGTGAATTATACTGAAAAAGTATATTTTGCAAAAAGTGAAAATGTCTAGTATTTTTGTGTGAGTGCTGTAACACTTCACCTCTCATTAGAAAGGATGCATGTCATGGATATTTACGAAGTTAAACCTGTATGGTAATAATTTGACTTTTCATCATATACTGCAAAGGGTATCATTTGCTTGGTGTTTATAGAAATTTAAGTTTTTAATAAGAGTGATATTTGTGGTGATGTCAGAATTTCTGGTTTGAATTGCGCTTGGTCGTGGAGCAGCAGAAAGATTTTACTACTGGTTTCATTTATTTAAATTGTGGAAGTCCTCTGTAGTGATAAGTAAGTGTTTATCTATATATTTTACTGAAAATGGAAATTTCATGAATCACAACAGTGTACTGAGAACCAAATTCTAAGTAAATTGGACAGACTACCGGTACACAAGTCACTGTTCTAAGACATTCAACCCACTGCGGTCATATTTACTGTGTTCCAGGTGCTCATTGTCAGCTCTCACTCTGCAGGCACACTCTGCACTCCTCCTCAGGGATGGATGCAGTTCCTCACTGGATCCACAGACATTAAGTGATTTGAATCTTGGTTTTGAATCAGTTTTCTTAAAAGCTTCATCCTTATTCAAAATAAACCTGATGCAAACAGAGATGAAAATATTCTTGATCTGCTGAACACCATGCTCCAGTAGCTCACACACTACCAAAGAATTTTGCTTCTGCAGTCATGTGCACTCTTACCTGCATATAGAAGTGATACAATAAATTGTTAAGATTGAATTGCAACTATAGGTATCTGAGAAACAATTGTTTATAATAATTTGAAAATCACTTTTAATTGAAAATACTTTGAAAGCTTACATTTTCTACAAATATATGAAAATACAGTAACACATACAGCACCAATCTTAATTCAGTGCATTAGTAAAGCTATGTCATAACCAAAGCTAATTATGATTTTAGGATTTATTGCAAATTGGATAACATTCCTTTTCAAATACCACTTTCATCCCCGCCTCCCACACATCCTCACGGCACCTAATTGCATTAAAATTCAGTTTTATTAAATGTAAAATCCAAATTCAGCATTAACTCCATTTTGTGATGCAGATCATCAGTAGAGGAAACTCACTGCTTCACAACCTGGAAGGAAAATTTTTACCAGACACGACAAGCAGTTATTTGTCTTAATATTTAGGAAGGTACAGTTATGTGTTATAAAGCATTAGAACAAATTCTTGCTTGAAATAGTGAAAACGGGGAAAGATCTAATCTTAATTTTTAGACATCCAAAATAATAAAACTTATTGTTGCCTTCTGACTCCTACCTTTCTTTTTCTTTCTAGTGATCAGTCACAAAGTGACTCCAGTACTAAGGATTTTTGGATGAACATGCAAGCTATAACTGTCTACCTCAAGAAATTATCAGAGCAGAATCCATCTGCATCCTATTACAATGTGGATGTTTTAAAGTATCAGGTAAACACTTTCTTCCCTTTGGAATTTTTTAAGGAACTCTGACAGATTTGATATCTACACAGAAATTAAAAGAATTGTTCTTTGCCTGCTAGCACGCAGATGAACTGTCATCCCTCATCTAGACCAGTTCTCTGTGTGTCACTGTTTACAATAGGCATAGGCTCTGCCCAGGCTTAGTGCATTCCTACTATGCTTCAAGTCATTCCCTTCGGTTCATGACCTGTTTCAGCTTGCTCCCACTTCACTCCAATTCATGCGTGTAAACTTCAAACACTGCTTCTCTAGGTATTTTCCTTGAATTTAGGGGGTTTGGTGGCAGGTTGTTTGAGTTTGTAGTTGTACTGTCTTTGATTTTCTAATTGCATGAGTTTTGGATGCTGTAACTGATGAATTGTAATATATGAGAACATATGACGTTCTCACCTCTCACAATATAATGGAACATCTCACCCTGGAAACCATTTACAGGCACACGAAAGACAAGAAGGTCATGAGGAGTAGTCAGCATGCATTCACCAAGGGAAGGTCATGTTTGACCAACTTGATAAAATTCTATGATGAAATGACTGGCCAGGTGGATGAGGGGAGAGCAGTGGATATTGTCTACTTAGACTTCAGGAAGGCTTTTGACATTGTCTCCTATAGCATCCTCATAGAGAACTGGTGAAGTACAGGCTGGATGAGCAGACACTGAGGTGGATTGAAAACTGACTGAACAGCCAGGCCCAGAGGATGATGGTCAGTGGCATGAAGTCTAGTTGGAGGCCAGTAACTAGCAGTATACCCCAGGGGTCAGTACTGAGTTTAGTGTCTTGTTTAACATCTTCATTAATGATCTGGATGGTGGGGCAGAGTGTACCCTCAGCAAGTTTGCTGATGACACTGAACTGGGAGGGACCAGTTCTGCCCTCCAGAGGGACCTCGACAGGCTGGAGAAATGCGCTGACAGGAACCTCATGAAGTTCAACAGGGGAAGTGCACCCGGGGAGGAGCAACCCCATGATATATGCTGGGAGCCACCCAGCTGGAAATCAGCTTGGCAGAAAAGGACCTGGAGGTTCTGGGGGACACCATGTTGAACATGAGCCAACAACGTGCCCTTGCTGCAAAGGGAGCAAATGGTCTCCTGGGCTGCATTAGGCAAAGCATTGCTAGTAGGTCAAGGGAGGTGATCCTTTCCCTCTACTCAGCACTGCTGTCGCCACACCTGGAGTACTGTGTCCAGTTCTGGGTTGTCCGTTGCAAGAGAAACATGGACGTACCGGAGAAAGTCCAGCAAAGGGCCACAAAGATGATGAAGGGTCTGGAGCATCTCTCCCATGAGGAAAGACTGAGAGGGCGGGGACTGTTCAGCCTGGAGAAGAGAAGGCTCGGGGGGATCTCATCAATGTATGTAAGTCCCTGAAGGGAGGGTACATAGAAGACAGAGCCAGGCTCTTTCCAGTGGTGCCCAGTGACAGGACCAGAGGCAATGGGCACAAACTGAAACATGGGAGGTTCCCTTTAAATATCAGGAAACACTTTTTTCCTGTGAGGGTGACTGAGCACTGGCACAGGTTGCTCAGAGGAGTGGTAGTCTCTCCATCCTTGGAGATATTCAAAAGCCATCTGGACATGATCCTGGACAACTGGCTCGAGGTGCCTCTGCTTGAGCAGGGGAGTTGGACCAGCTGACCTCCAGAGGTCCCTTCCAACCTCAACTATTCGGTGAATCTGTGAGAAGATTGTTCTGCCTGTCAATTAAAAATCTTCATGAAAATTCAAGAGACAGACTCACCTCAAAGGGAGAACAGGGATTTGCTAGGCCTGTATTGAAATGGTTGAACATCTGAGACAAGTGTCTACATCCAAAACCAAAAGAACCTGTCAGTCCAGCTATTGTAGTTTCCACATCCTCCCAATACAGTTTAAAATCTTGGCATACTGAATCTATAAAACGCATTTAGGTACACAGAATTCCTGAGAAAGATGGAAGGAACAAAACATTTCTTTGGATTGCAGAAATGAGTACTGTGGAAGAATATCTATTTAAGATATTTAGTGTTGGGGAAAAATGAGGCATTGGCATGCGGAAGCCCTAGCAGATAGAAAAGGTTCTGGGCTGCCAATGAAAGGCAAGAGGGGGCACCAGGATACAAAAGGTTCCTCAAGTAGACTATGAAGGTGGTAGAGATGCAGCAGGGCAGTAGCACTGCATTCAGCCCTCCTGCAGCAGGAAGATAATGCTTTGAATAGGTAAGAACTGTTTTGCTGGCTGCCTATCCCATAATGACAGGTATTGCCTTCTGCTGCTGGCTGCTTGGGCAGCTGAATTGGTATGGCACACACCGCTAAGGATGAAGTCATTTTGCCACAAGTGTGCTTCTTGTGTGAGGCAGAACACAAGACTAAAACAAAACTATTTTGACTTATAAAAGCCAGAACAGGAAGAAGCCTTGTTGGCCAGAGGGAGTTTAAACCTTTTCTTTAATTATTTTAATTTAAAATTAAAAGAACAGAAATTACTTTAGGCTGCAACAGTCTTCAGATTCTGCGTCTCAGAGGTCAGTTGTTCTCTTAATCTTTTGTCAGGATTTAGAGTTGTATTCGTTACCATCATTCCCTAATTCTGCCCAAAAGGGGAATATTTTAATTACGCTGCTTTCAATGGTTTATTCTCTTACAGGTATCTTCAAATGGCATCCAGTCCACTCCCTTGAATCTTGCGACTTACTGGAAATGTAATGCTAGCACTACTGATGTGAGAGTGGATTATAAGTACAATCCAGAGTCTATGAATGTGCCTAGTATGCTTTCTAATGTCCAGGTTGTGGTACCAGTAGATGGAGGAGTAACAAACATGCAATCACTTCCACCTGCAAAATGGTAGTATTTTTATTATTTCAGATTCGTGTCAGTGTATTCATTAATGTCATAGTCTGAAAAATTTCACAGGAAGAAACAGCTAATTTTTTTTTGTCTTGACAAAATGCGTAGTATCAGATGTTTAGGACATTTTCTGGTCTGAAACAGATCACGTGCAGCCAATTCACATAAACTAAAATGAGACAATATGCACCCATTCCAACTGTGTAATAATACAAGCCTTTATGAAATTTCCAATGTTTACTTTCTTTTGGCCAATAGACAGGATAAACGTTTTTAATATAGTAATTTGAAACCAAAGTCTCTTAATGGTTAAAAAACACCTTGTGTGTGTGTATATATATATTCATATATATACGGATTATATAGAGTAGAAGAAATGCAGTTCTTAAAAAGATTCCTTGATTGTTCTAGCTTAAAAATTAGCTTCTAATTGAAATGGTTTTGAAAAAAGCCTCAGTAACTGAGGAGCTCTTCATAAGCCAGGTAGCATTGTCTCTCACATCAAGCATCATGCAGGTTATTATCTGACTAGCAGCTACCTGCCACCACCTTCTAAGCCTGCATTTACGGTAGCACTTGAAAGTGAGAGACATATCTTGGGTCATTACATTTCTACAAGTTTGTGAAAACAAGCAGAGGGTAGTGGGACTAGCCAGAGCAGTACAACCCTGGAGCAAAAGGTGAGCAGAATTCAACCACTGCACCTGTGGTTTGGCAGCACATAGGTACTTGCCCAGCTGTAATGTAATTCGTGGACTGTTTATTTCCAAGAAGGTCTTTTTAATGTGAAGAGGGCAAAGAATACCAAGTTGAAGGAGGTCAGGCTTTGTTAACCTTGTTAGTTACAGATCTGTTTACCTACGAAGGTCAGAAGATAAATAAACCTGATGCGTTTATCAGATAGGTTCTGATGTTTCTGGAGGCAATACATTTCAATGTGTTAATTTGACAAAGTAGTAATACAGTATCATTTTAAGTAGAAAAAATCCTGGCAAGACTGAATCTTTCTTGACTTGGTATTTCAAGGGAGCGATACTTTTAACCAAGTCACCTTAAGCTTATTCTGAGCAAGGGCAGGTTCAATATCTGCATGAACAACATGACTAAAACATCTGGTGAAGCCAGTCTCCTGGGCCAGGCTTCTTCCACAAACCCTTCTGTAATGAAGCCTGAGTGAGAGCAGGAACACCCACTCAGACCTCCTAGTGTTAGCTAGGAAGACTCAAATCTTAGTAACAGTTTCATTACAGATTTATCACATTAAGGGACTTGAGCTCAGATTCTCTCTCCTTGACCTAGGCAACTACCCAAGGCCAGAATTTTGAGTCTTGAGCCAAGAAAAAAACGACAGTCATGTCCCAGGCAGCTCTAGTATTTGTATTGTGCCACCTGTTTGGTCTATTGGATTGGGTGATGGGTTTTTGGCTTTTTAAAAATAAATTATTTATAACTTGACCCCCTGCAAGTAACCCCTATCATCTGTGCTACTTGTGTAAGCATTTCACTCATGCTACACCAATGCCAAAAGCAATTTCAAACCTATCAGCACTTCACGCTGCTCACAGCTTTAAGTTGTTCACTTTCCTTTGGTGGAACTGCTGCAAAGTGCTCCAGGAGTTAAAATGGCCTGTCAGCTTAGAGACTCTGGTGCTTGGTACCCTTTTCTGCCTCTTTACAGCATCAGAAGTTAGCTTAAACCCTGTGTCACTTACGCCAACTAGTTTTACTAGAATGGAAATGGAATAAAATTCATGCTGCCAGGAGTCTCACATAGGGGAGAGCAATGTTGATTGCTTACCATCGTCATGAAGCATAAAGACATAGCTTTCAAACCTCTTCCAGGGTGTTTGGCCTGCCCTTACTTACCCTTTGAGACTACAGAGGGTTTTGAGTTGTGAAGCCATAGCCGGGTTATAGGACAGTGTTAACTGTATAAAAGGGTGGTGTATACTTCTGAACTCTGGGGCAATGCAGACACACCCTTCTCTTTTCCTGTTTGCTTTGCATAGTTTTCCACAAACTTAACTTAAAATCAAGTGTTTTTATAAACTTCCATTTAGAGATGTCTGTAACATACCGGTGTAAATCTAGGGAAATAATATGCTAAAACTGGTGCTTATAACTAACCTACCATTCTCTTACAGGAATGCAGACCAGATGAAAGCATATTGGAAAATATCTAGCATTTCAGAAAAGTCTGAGAACGGAGGCAAGTTGCACTCTTTTGTTTTGTTTTATTATTTATAATTATTTTAGCCTCTACGCCCTCATGCCTGTTGACACGTCTTCTCATGCTGTATCCTGTTTACCAGTTCACCTTCTTCTCAATTAATTTCCCCCTGAGAAATTAACATTGAGATGTCATTAACAGTGAGATGTCAAAATGTAAATTTATTGATTAGCTATAAAAGGAAAAATAGTGAAGCCCCCTGAAAGTAGTTAGTCGCTCTAAAATAGAGTTTAGACTGGGTAGGAAATTATTACATCAATTCTATTTGGAAGTGAGCAGTTATTCAAATGAAAATATGTTTAATATCTGTGTCTTTCCACACACTGACAATTGAAATAAAGTAGAAAGAGGTAAGTGGAAGAATTGGGGTGAAGGAAAAAAAAAGATCCCAAAGACCTGTACTGAGATAGATGCAACAATAGATGATTCTTGACCAACATTTTGAGGATCTTTGTTTTGATCATATACAACTCCAGGAAAAAAATGAATCTATGCACATCTGCTCAGAGTGGTAATTTGTAAAGCATTTTGTAAGGTACCAGTAGTTGTCCTCTGCCCAGCTGCCTTTCCCTGAGGCCCAGTTGATGTCACAGCCCTTGCAGCCTCTGCAGGTGCAATGTTTTTCTGAAGCAGAAAAACAAGCCAAAGGGAGGCATCTCATCCTCAAAGCCTCTGTGGAGAAATGAATTTGTGGTGCTTAAAGGAGAGGCCTTTAGCCCTGTTAAGGATTTAGTGAAGGGCATTATGAAAGCACAGACTTGCTTGTAAATATGACTGGTTTCATATAGAAACCACAAGTTGACCCAGAAAGGGAAGACCTCTTCTATTTCTGCAAAGGCTGCAAAGTTGTGGTCATCTTTCAAACAAAATCAGTGAGAATTTTATCTGACAGAGGTTGTTGCTGTAGTTTGGTGTACTTTGTCATTCACTGACCTCACAGTTCTTTGCCATCTGTTTTCCATTATGATTATGTAGGGATAGCCCTCTTTTTCTTTTTCTTTTCTAAACTGTGGAGCTTCTTTTAAAAGAAAAAAATCATACTAAAACGCAAATGCAGCCAGATGAAGAGCTACTGTATACTTGCAGAGCAGCATAAAATGGGTTGCCAGTGATGCAGATTGCATCTTGTGTGTGTTCAGTAGACTTGCAGATATCCCACTGCTTCTTCTATATTCCTTTCTCTTCCCACCATCTTTCTTCCCCTTTTCTTTGAGTATAAACACATAGTACTCACAATTCAGTGTTTAAGAGGAAGTAATACTATGCTGGTCTTACACTTACAGGAACAAAAGGAGAAGTTGTACGAACACTGTTAATGTTAGGACAAATGTCTTGCAGTCTTCTTTATTCTGCTGTACAGAGTCATAAAATGTTTTGGCTTTTTTATGGATGAACACAATTATGTGTCAATTGCAGACAGAGATAAAACACAGAACAGACTTTCAAAGCACTTGAATATATGAGTTTCCATACTTAGAGCGGAAAGAAGTTCCAATTTACCCAAACTATGACAGACCTACTGAAGAAATGAAATGGACCTTAAGCCAAATTTATCAAGGACAAGCAATTGCATAAAACAATTTCATTCATTAATTCCTGCTTTTACCCCAGTAACATTTTAGTTACTAACTTTCCTCATCATTTAGCTGTTCCTATTGACTAGGAATAGCAAGTTGTTTTAAAGAAGTAAAAATACTTTACTTTCATTATTCCATTACTAATTATTTAAATCTCATTTTCCCAGTATATTTTGCAAGAACAAGAAGACCCTTGTTTAAGAACTAGAAAAAGAGACTAGTAACAATGTTGTGGGTTTTTTTAAATGCCTTGCATTGACTACAGAAATGCACTTAAAGTAATTTTGAACTATTACTGCTTTATAATAGCATTGAAGTGCTATTATTACATGACACTTCACCACTGACTCTGAAAAATCAACCCAAATTTGTGGGGGAAAAGTATTTAATCAGCCCTTGTCTTTATTAGAAAAATAAGAATTTCTTTTCATCTGGGTACATTACTGTATAGCTGCATTTCTTCTAACGGTTTTGTTCATTTACATTCATCCAAACAGATCGTGACAACATTTAAATATTCTGATGTACTTTCAAATCTGCTAATGAAAAGTACTACATTCGAGATAGATGGTATTAAGTACTTACAGACCAGCAAGCATAAATGATGTTTATAGGGACCAATCAGATATTTCAAGTAATAAGAGATTACCAGGCTGTCTGATAAGCATATTCTGTATAATCTTGCAGAAATGTGTATTGTTTCTCTTTAAATCACTCACTAGTCATTGTCTTAAACAGAGTATTGGAAAAAACAGACTTGTACTCTCATCTCTTTTGAAAATTGATGTAGGACTGCTACTAGGAACGGATCTCAAAGGTCACCATGTTAGTTTCACTTGTTACTACTAAAAATTTTCAGGGATCGTCTTGTTCTTGCAAAACAACCAGCTTTTCAGTTTTGTTATTTTATAGGTTCTGGATCCCTCAGAGCAAAATTTGAACTTTCAGAAGGACCCAGTAAACCAGCAACACTTGCAGTGCAATTCATTAGTGAAGGAAGCACCCTTTCAGGAGTAGATGTAGAGCTTGTAGGCACTGGCTATCGGCTTTCCCTCCTTAAGAAGAGATTTGCCACTGGTAAGACACTGACATGCTTATACGTTCAAATTAATATTATATGTTCTATAGTGCTGAATTATAAAATATGAAACTGTTAAGTAAGTTATGCATAAACAGTTACTCTTCATTAAAACATGGCTGAAAACTGTTTCACAGGTTTTTTGGTTTTCCTTAGTTACTCAAACTGCTCTCAGGAAAATACTCACAAAATCTGTTTTATCTACTGACTGCAAAAACCCTACCTTTATTTTTCAGGACGGTATATGGCAGACTGCTGATGTACCTGTGAAAGTCATTGGATCAAAGGAGTGCAAGAAGCTCACTCTGCCCTCTCTACTTTTCAAACACTATTTTAACATGCATTAATTTTTTCAAAATGTTGACCTACTTTGAGGCTGAACTACAGAACAGAAAATGCACTTTTAAAAGTCATTTTGCAAACTTTTTATTATTTTATAATAGCACTGAAGTTAACTTCAACACTGTCTGTAAATGATCAACTGCAATATTGGGGAAAATTTGTTGAAATTTTAGTAAATTTATATAGATGAAGTCAAAATAGTAATCCATAGTTGTAATGAAAGTATGAAATTGTATGTTATACTGTAAGCATTAAACCTAAAAATGTAGGAGAGCGAGTAAGAAATATTTGAGCTTTCCATAAGTAATATTCATTTTTCAGATTCTTTAATTGCCATTTTTTAAAGAAAGCAAAGGCAAAGTCTCATGTAGTTCTTCTATCCACTTATGCCACAAAACCAGATGAGTTAGAGATGTATAAAAGAAATGTAACTTGATGCCCACGTATCATATATTATTAACATGTAAGTTGTTTTACATAAGGTTTTTTTCCTCAGTAAGTGCAATGTGTTACAAAATTGCAAAAGACAGCAGAGATTTGCTTCTGCATTTAGTAAATTTTATGGGCGTTGTGATTGTTTGAATTAATGCTGTAGATTTAATTTATTTTTATATGAATTGCATAACATTTGTGCCTTTAAAAAAAGCCTGTGCCTATCCAATTTCTTATTCACGTGCCTCACTTCCTTTTTCAAAGTTTGGCTCTTCATCAAGAAAGCAGGGTGTTTGTATCATACAACTTTATAGAAATTCCTTTGACTGGGATTTATTTAGAAGGCAGATTTGCAAAAAGTGGAGATTGTTTAAGAAGAGGTTTAAAATACTGGATTACTTCCTCATGGGGTAATTGCAATAAATGCGGCTGTAGTAAAGGGAGATGCATCATGCAGGACTTTGAAACTTTGAGATAGTAACTTCAGTGTCACCAAAGATGAGAATCCTGAAAAATCACCGAAGATGGTAAAAGCAAACTTTTAAAAGCAAAGAGCATTTCCCTTCACTTTGACTGCAAGTCTTCGGACTTTGAGTGCTTTTGGGGTTGTGATGTGAATGTAAACATAGTGCTTTGGGAGGAATAGCATTTTAGAAGGGTATTTTATGGCAGCAGGATGACAAGTACTGCCATTTCTATTAGTGTAAATTTTTTCTCTAACCACCAATTTTAATATGTGTATCGTCATCTAATCTGCTTGCCACAGTCTAAGCACAGGGAAGTGTAACACATTAGTAACGTTTTTTTAAAGCAAGTCACTAATTTAGAAAAACTTCTATGTATTTATATTATCAAGTGTTTTTTCAATGCCGAAATCAAAAGTATTGGGGCAAAATAATCCAATAACCTGCACATGGGAATTTCATATGACCATTTTGAATACTACTATCTATTTCACATTCTCTATTAAAACAATAAAACGTGCTTGAACTAATTCATGCAAAACCAGTAACGAATTGGACTGCTGAAGCTTTACAATAAATAAAGCTTTGTAGAGGTTACATAAATCCTAATCTATACTACACACTTTTGCAGATGACCGTTCCCTTGTTAGCACTAAGCACATACTGTACTGTAGATTTGATTGGAAGAATATATTTGGCTTTTAATTTGCTAATCTTATTGAATGGTAAATTTCGAACTCATAAAATGGTACAGTCTTTTTACTGGAATCTTAATTGTAATCTGCTTTGCAATCAAACTGTGTTTAACATGACAATATTCTGTTAATGAAAACCCAAAACTGTATTGCTATTTTTAATCAAGTATTACTTTCATTTCTAAGTTAAATGAAGTAGTTATGTTTCAGCACTTTTAAACTAGCCTTCATTCAGGTGATTATACGTACATTTGCATTGGGTGCAGGTTACAATTTTGAAGCCATACAAGTTTATATAGACTTTTTGTAAAGAAATTCAAAAACAATGTAAAAAGTACATGTAGCTATCTGATAAAAAAACATACGTAGCAAGCTGGTTCTTGCTTGTGTATACAGCAATATCCGTTGTAGCTGCCTCCTAAGAAAATTAATTTGTAAACACAACTCTAAAGGATCTGAATTTTTATGAATTGTTACTATGTCAGACTGTAAATTAAAGCATACAAGTTTATCTTACAAAAATTGTAAATACTTCCGATTTTTCATAAAATGTAAATTTAAAAAAAATTTGCACCCATAATAAACATGTAATATATAATTTAAATGCTGATTTATATTGCCTGTACTTTTGCAGTTAGTCCCACAGGGCTTCTAAGCAGTAAGATAATAGGACAAAACTATGCCTGTATTGAACATTTTAAAAGTATTAATTGATTTTTAAGTGATAAGGGGTAGAGATAATACATGAACTCTTTTATATATTTAAAAAACACCACAGAGAAGGTGGGTGGAAAGATGACTTCTGCAAAGAGTTGCATCTTTACTAAACTGAAATGCCTGAGATGTCTACAATGGCTTATGCCTTTACTAAATTGATATGCTTAACTAATAACTTAGATTAGGCAAAACTGGGGATATGTTTATCAGAAAAATCTCGACTTCGTGGACACGAGCTGTTCTCTGTGCAATCAAATGCTGTACATTCCCTAAATTCCTTAATAAGCCTATATTTTGTTGAGTGCACAGGAAAAAAATCAGTGGCAAGATTAAAGTAATTCCTTCCGATTTCTTATGTTCCACCAGTCCAAAAAAGTAGATGATTTAAGTACTACTTCAGCAGTCTGAGAATAGTCTAAGCTGTAAGCACAGAAACAAAAGTTGAAACTGAACAAATGTGTTTGAATCTGTTTCTTTCCTACTACTCCCACAGCCTGTGTAAGTTTAGTAAGTAACGACTTACTAAATTGACTTTCTCAGCTGGCTGGATATCATTGCAGTAAGTACCATTCTTGTCATACTGGAAAGCAGTAGTCCAAGGGCTTGATTCTTATCTTCTGCTGGAAGGCAGGAGTGAAGAATGCAAGTGCCCAATGGTCAGACCGAATGGTCCATCTAGCCCAGTAGTCTGTCATCAACAATGGCTGAAGAACAGACTGTGGCACAGAGAGCTCAGGGGCCATTTCCTTTCTGCTCCCCCAGCATCCTCAGTTACTGGTTAGCGATGTAAAACGGTACAACGCTGCTCAGTTCTTCTAGTATTCGCTGAACTGCTCTGCCACTTCTGTTAACATTTGACTTTTGTTACTGTAAGCCAGTGCCCACATACTACTCGCAACTACTATAAACTGGATTTATACTGCTCAAGCAGGTTTGTGATTATCTAAGTACATGATCAGGTAGTTTTTCAGGGATAACTGACTACCTCTGCCACTGCCAAATAATATTTATGTAGGGTATTTGAAGGAGCTAAGGTATTTGATTACCAACTGGAACAGCGTGGGAGTTACAAGTGTGGTGGGTTTTGCTATCTAACTAGAAAGGAAGGTCTTGCATCATGCCAAAAAGGATTACATTTCAAGTCTTGTGTGTTTGAGAAGCTTAAGATTGGCATCTTAATATCTGTGTACCTTTTGTTTTCTTGGAATTGCTAGATAATTGGTTTCCATTTCAGTTGTCATGAAAGGGCAATTTTACTTTAGAGCATGCAAGAAAAAACTCAGGAATTCCTCCAAGGATAGAGTAAGCTAAAAACAGTTCAAGGTACTAAAGCAGCAAAAAACATATTTACTGTGCAGTGCCCTTGATCGGACTGATTACCAGGTCTCTTAATAGAAAACTTACTGTTTATCTTTGACTCTGCATATTATCGCACTACTGAGTATTCCTTTTCAACTCAGTTTGGCCTCCACGTTTACTGACATGTTGATTTTTAAGTTCTCCCTTAGTTCATTCAGTAACCAGTAGAAAGCATACAGTCTTTAAAGAATAAAATAATCTTAGAAACACTTCTGGATTACTTATAAACACTTAATACTCAAATCCTGCATTTTCTGTAGCTGCTTTCACTAACTTTGGAATCCATTCTTTCTGTTTTTAAATTTGGGATGGCTATTTTAATTATTATAAACTAAAGGTATGATTTTGTTTGCCATTGTCCCAGCCGTGTTTCTTTTAAAAAGCCTTGTTCTGTAACTTAGCTTTTTCTTTTCATTATTAAAACTCAGCTGTTTGTTTTTTAAAACATAGGTTAATAATCACAAGCCATAAATCATGCCAACTTCACCATTCTGATTACGATTCAACTCTTCCTCTTGGCATCACCCGATCTGCCTTCTTGAAGTTTTCATTTCCTAAGTCATGTTTTCTGCTCCAGAAAATTAGCGGTGGTAATGTGTTCAGTGATGACTCAATTCTTTTTTTATTGTGCTTAAATGAAACATCCCATTTTTACAATTGCTGATTCTCCCCTCCAGGTGTCCCCTCCTGCTTTGTAATTAGATAAACTCCTTACATAATAATTCTCAAAACTGAAGTTGTATCTTTAGTACTGTGGGAGAGCACGCCGGATGTCTTCCCCTGCAAGAAGTGCTGCTCTGTCCATGTAGCTCTGAGCTAGAACTTGGCACTAATGCACTCAGTGCTCACTGAGCGTGGGGAGCACAGTTCACTTAAGCATCTGCCTTTACTTCCAGGCAACAGTAGGTTTCCTAGAGGGAGAACTGGGGAATCTGTACCCCCATTTCCCTGAGCTATGACCTTTCCAAATTGTTCAAGGTGGCAGCACTTTTGCCAGTTGATCCCCAAGAGATGCCACAAAAACACACATTAGAATTCAGAGGTTTTTGGCAAATAGCATCTTCTAGCCTTTCCTCCAAGGGATCATCCAGCTTAAAACAGTCCTACAATACCTGGTTTTGGTCAAAAAGAGTAAAACCATAATTTGTGTTTCAGGAAGCAGTTCATCCCATGTAGGCAGCAACAGTGCAGTCTCCTGCTTTTCATACTACCGATGGTTAGGAAAAGCCAACAGTTGTCACAAGTTGAAAAGAAGCTTTCAAAAAATGTTGCATCTTTCTTAAAGTGCTGACTGTTACCTCGACACCAGTTCTTAAGCAAAAATTGTGCCGAGTTTTACCCTTAAAGACTCATTCGCAGCCCATGGGAACATAGTCTCAGCTATACCTCCTATTCAGGTCATCAGTAAAGGTAAGTGTGTGTTTGTACCAACACACAGCAGGAGCAGTATTATCCAGAAGACATGTTCGCTATTTCAGCTACTCACAAGAGTCTACAAGCCATTATTTTAGCATATGGAGCGAATCTTAATACCTTGCTCCTATATCCAGCAGCACCAGCAGCCTACTGTGTCCTCTTCATGGAAGCTGTAAAGTATTCACAGCATACTGTGAATGTGTATGTGCCACATACAACACAGTGATCTCTTCTATTGGTTTTTTTTCTGGAATTAAGAAAACAGTAGAATATTTTTAAGAACTTGCTTAGTGTTCATAGTGAACAACAGTATCTACCATCACCCATCCATCCAGTCCCAAAATGGATTATC